AGGCACCCAACAAAATCACACGGATGTGCCCCCGAGACAGCTTGTCTGAAAACAGCTGACACTAACCACATCGCCACAACTATGAAAACAACAAACGACTAATGACTAATCAGCAGTGCAGTGACACCAGGCACCCTGATGCACCAAAAAAGTTTTACTGCACTAATTTTTAGACGAGCCCCCATTTGTTATGACCTGGCTCAAAAGGGAGACACACCAAGGTAACCGGTTAACATATGTTTATTTAACGAAAGTAAGCCAAATCAATATTTATGGTTACTTCAAATTAACATAATTAGACAGAGAGAGAGACACCACACCCACTCATAACCCCACAGGGCATCACAGTCAGCACATTTAATCCACATTTTGTGCGTGGTAGGTTAGTTTTGTTTAATGGAATTTGATTAAAATAAAAACAGAATATCACCTGACTTATTCTGTATTGTTAGAAAGTGTTAAAAGTGATTAAATAAGCTTTGTGCTGTTATTTTACTTATTTTACTGCTTTTGAAATGTGTATTCAATTCTGAAATGTTTTCACATTTAATCTGTCAGTTTGAGTAAGTATCTTTATACTTTTTAAATGACGATTTCCATGTTGTTATTTAATTGTCTCTCTTCTTGTGGTGTTCTGTTCAAACTATTGTGGTTTTAATGTTTTAATTGTTACAGGCTCTGGTCCAAGATATATTTAACTTAAAGATGTTGTTCTCTAAATAAAACACATGCAGCCAATGTGCCACACTAAATTAAGGTTTGTGAAATCATGGCTGTATTTTTGCCCTTTTTTGTCTGACGCTGGGACTTTATGGCACCACTTTGGTCCACACTGAAGCATTTCAGCAACAATTGGATGTATTGTGATGAAATGGGGCATGAAGTGTAATGAGCACCTCTGACAGAGGAATTTGTAGTAGTAGAAAAAAGTCACATGTGTACCAGTAAATTTGAAGTCACAGAGAAAAATACTTTTTACACCTGCTTATTTAGCATTGATTGAGTTATCAGTCACAGTGGGTGTGGTTAATTTTAGTTTTGGTAATCAAAGTACATTTAACTGATAATACTAATGTACTTTTATTTAGAAGTGCAGTAGGATTATGAATAGAGGATTTTAACTTCTAATGGAGAATTTCTTTATTATAGTATTGGTACTTTTACTAAAGTAAAGGATCTAGTATTCCTTCCGAAAGTGATGGATGCACATGGGGACTGACATAAAAACTCTGACATTTGGCCTTTATGGTGCTGACATCATTCCCTGGTTCATCTTTTTCCAATTCAAGTTCATTTGATGGCTGTCTGATCAGTTCATTCCTGAGCAGGGAGGACTCCTCAGTGTCTCGGTCCAGTTGTCAGTGTAAATGGTTGGAGATAAAAGGTGAATCCATTTCAGTCAGCAGCTCTGCATCACCTACAAAAACAGATCCGGGGTGAACATTTCCTTCATACCTTCATGATGAAGCCTCTTGAAGATACAAAAGCTCATTATTTGAAACATCCGTGTGCAGGATCCTACCCAACAGGATATACTGCAGTTCCACCTCAACATTAAAAAGCTGCTTACAACTTAATACATCACTAATAATAACCCAATAATATAATCTACTGTTGTGACTGTGCATAATGAGTAGCCTACATTAACTTTTGATTGCATTTTAGTATTTTTAGTATAAAGTTATTCTGTTACTGCCATCAGACGGCCTCCCTCTGTAAAGTTAAAAAGTACTGAACAGTAAACTACTACTATCCCGCTTTCGCAAGTTGAAGGCTGTATTAAAGTTGCTGCTGGCAGGTTTTTTCTGCCATTGTTCACTATCTTTAAATTTGACTCTTTCATACCAAATTATTCAGTAGGCGCTGGTGATATGGATGAAGCCCTCTATCACGGTATGTGTATCATGATATCTACAATGTATATGCTGATACATTTTCTGGAAGATTAATTGAGTTAATGGATGAACTAATTTATTGGCCAATCTAGGAATTTAAAAACCTGACAAATCAAGGTATTTCTAGAAACTCAAGGGATTCAATGTGACCATAAAACAGTTCTGCTCATTGACTTGCAACATTGCCCTCAATGGTCTAATTCCCAAGGAGATATTAAAGCATTAAATACCACATTACATTAAGACGCTCCCTGTAAACTACTATTATAATAATATTATATACATTACACAAAGTACAAAATTGTTAATATCTCTGTACTTAATGAAGAGCCAGTTTGGGGTCGAAACATTGTTCTTTTTCTAATGTAATGAAACAGTTATTTCAAAGGGAGCGTTCTTCAGAGCTGTTTATGAGTACATGAACGAGAAAGTTGTGTGTGTGTGTTTAGCTACACGATTGCTTAGATAACACAGTTAAATCTCTGAACTTTGACAGATCGCCTCACAGATTATATTGTCACATCACACAATCCCAGTTCCAGTGTTTAAATTTGTCACAGAATGATTTAGAGGCTTTTTGTTTGATATCTTTTATTTTTAAGAAATATTGAAATTGACTGCAGCTTTCAGTTTTCATATCAACATTTTTTAAATTGTCACCGAACACTAAAACTCAACATAAAACTAAAAAAACATTTCAACACCGCCTGTTGTGTTGTGTAATTGTGAATATAAGGCTTTTTGTATATCTTTTTATTTTTGAAGAAACTGACTGCAGCTTTGTTTCACAGTTGTTTCATTTTCACTTTAAACCAGTGTGATCAAACTAAGACGTGGTTTTCTTAAAGATCAGGGCTGGTGTTTGTTTGTCTGACTTCCTGTCTGTGGCCATCAGCTCCAGGTGGCTCCTGCTGAAGACATAAATCTGTAAAAACAGCTCACAAATATATAGTTTCATTTTTAAATAAAATTCAGTAATTTCCTAAAACAGCTGCTCACTGTGGTTTATCAAACATTACAGGAGGGGATTGTGCATTTGTTGGGGTTTTCAGCTGTGGATTAATCCACATTTTGTGTGTGGTAGGTTAGTTTTGTTTTATTGGGGAATACTGTTTAATGGAATTTGACTAAAATAAAAACAGATTATCACCAGTCGTATGTTAGAAAATGTTGTACATGTAAAAATGATATTTAAGACATTCTGTTTTTTTAAAATTTGCATTAATGTTTTACATTTTGATCCATCAAATCTTTGGTTCCTTTGGCTTCAGCTATTTTCTAATGTGAGAGACTTTTAACTTTATAAATTACATTTTACTTATTGTTATTCTGTTTACTGTGTTATTAATTCTGTTCAAATAATTGTGCTTTTAATGTTTTAATGGTTACAGGCTCTCCCCAAAGAAGCCTTTAAGATGTTGTTTTCTATACAAAAACACATGCAGCCAACGTGCCTCAGTAAAAACAGGTTTGTGAACAGGTTTCTGTTTTATGCCCTACTGACGCTGTGACGCTCCACCACTTTTGTGAGCATTTGTTTACAGTCTTTAAAGTACAGAGTTTGTAAGAAGTGCTGTAATGTGTTCCAGATTCAAAAAGAAAATAGTAACGGTTTAAAAAAAAAATCTCCTTACCGTAAAACGTAAAACCAGCCCATCAAGCAAGCAACTCTGTGAGTCAGGTAATCAGTCACAGTGGGCGTGGCTACTAGTTTTGATAACTTAAGTACATTTAACTGATAATACTAAGCATCATCTAAGTACTTATAATATTTCCATCATACTTCTTACTTCATGATGAATCTGGAAAAAGCTGTATCATTATTGGAAACATGTGCAGGGTTCTTCCCAGCAGGATATAAAGAAGTTGAAATTAGCTCCACCTCATCCATCTACAACATTTTAATTCTGCTTACATCTTAATACATTAATAATGGAATTTAGTGCATTTTACTAGTAGGTATTCTGTGGCAGTTCCCATCACAGGGGCCGGGGTCATCACTCTTTAATCCTCAGAAATTTTGCTTAAAAAGTTGAGTGGCCACATTCCCAATCTTAAAATTGGGAATGTGGACACTCAACTTTGATTGGCTTGGATGAAAAGCTATGCCAGTTATCACGATGGTGATGCCAGTTATCACAATGGTGATGCCAGTTATCATGATCAGATCAGTGTGATCAGCACACTAGCCAACCTCCAGACATCATAGCCTAAATTGGTAGACCAAACCTGACTTGGTATCTGGGAGTGAAGCTTATCGTTTAACAAAGAAGGGAAGGGGACACTTATTTGGAGTGGGGTTTGGGGCACTCTCCCAGAAATTCTTGAGCATTAAACACCTAATTTTACAAAAGAAAAGCGTGGTAACTTCATGGACAGTCAGCAAGTTTTAACTACTTTATGTTCAATCAGCTGTTTTTTTTTTTTTTACTGCTTTAACTTGTTTTAAGTACTTTATATTCAGTTAGCTAGTTTAATTAGCAAATTTTAACAACTTTATATACAGTTATATCTGCAAATATACAGTTGAATCTGGGGGGTCGGGAGATGATTAATGGGAGAGGAAAGATAAAAAATCTAAGTTATGATAATCAAATCTGAATTTTCTCCAATTTATGACTTTAAAAAATAAATTGTCCTCTTTGGGCCTCACAGTTATTGAAATGAAACCATGTGAGAACTTTAGAGGGGAAATGTCTGGTGGAACTGATAACAATTCAGAGACTGAATGGTGACAAAGAGACTAAATTCAGATTTCAGTAAGGGTTCACAAAACAAAAAAGTTGATTCACCGCAAAAAGTATATTTTAATGTTTGTTTTTAGTGTAAAATCTTAATCTAACAAAGTTACTAGTTACTACAGGTGTTGAATAAATGTAAAAGGTTCAACATTTCCCTCTAAAAGTTAGTAAATCTGATATTCAATATAGTAGCACGAAATGGAAATACTCAAGTACTCAAGTATTGTAGGACAAAGTGTAGAAAGTGGAAGTGTAGTGTTAGCTGTAAAACAGTGAGATGTTGTATGTCCCATGCTGTGCACAGGTGATAGTTGAGGGGTTGGGTGTATAACTGGACAGGTGTGTTGGAGGTAGACAGAAAGGGAAAGAGACAGAGGGAGGGGTGAAGAAGGTTATTTATGCCGTTGCAGATCTAATGGTATGTACTTTCAGTTATGGCTTTGTACAAAGTGATCTGTGCGGCGACTCTGCTGACTCTCCTGACACAAGGTAAGAACCCTCCTCACTGCGCACACCTGAATCAATCATGTTTGAGATCTGATGACTGCTGTCTGAGGAGGAAGTAGAATCTTTTAGATAATTAAGAGTAGTTTTTAGAGTAAAATTGTATCAGATCCTGCATTCAAATTAAACTTTACAAAACTGTAGCAATAAAATATACAAAAAGCAAAGTGCTCGGTGGATCCTGTCACACTGAGTCAAATGTGCATGAATACAATTTATAATTAGGAGAGAAGAAGAAATAAAGTAAGATAACTCTTGTCCTGCAAAGTGAGCAGTAACTATGGTCATCAGATAAACGTAGCAGAGCCTGATTTAAAGCGAGCATGAAACATACTCAAAATCTTCCACTTGCAGAACCTGCTTAAACAAATATGAAATAGTTTTAAGTTGATCCAGAGCTGAGATGTGCTAGTAAGTATGATTATAAGTTAATTTAAATGATTAACAATCTCCCCCTTTTTATACCTCCTTCAACTAATTCCAAAGAGGTTTGGCATTAATTAGTTTATTTGAATGAATATGTGGTTTGCAGAAACTAACTTAATGTGACAAAAACCATTCAGTCGATCCAGGAAACAGAGTCAATGAATTGTGAAAAAAATAAGATTAACATGAAGGTGACATGTGAATGAGATAAGTCACTATAATGGGTATAGTTGTATAATTTACCTACACACTTTTTTGTTAACCGCTGCAGAAACTCGCCCACTCGCTCACCTCACTTTGCTGATACAAGATGCATGAAATGTATGGCATGCACATGTACGTGCTGCTTTAAATAGAGGAGGCAGGCTTTAAGTTGTTGATGTCGACATGAGCAGCAACGTTTTTTCATTTACCCAGAGAAAGATCTGGCTTGTGGTTACCAGTCTCCTCCTCCAACCTGTTTACCCCTATTTCCAGGAAAAACGTCTAGAATAACACACCCGAAATGAATCAGGATTAACTCTTAAACCATTAGGCCTAGATGCATAATTCTCCTTTTATCAGAAGCCAAGTAAGGAATATTAATCCAGTGTTAATGAACTTATTTATGTTGCCATTACAATGTAAATAGAGATGCAATAAAGGAAAACATGACATTTTAATCCTAGTACAAAATCAATATTTCAAAGCCCATATCACCATCATAACCATCATCTTGCAGATTATAATGCAACTGAATATCTTCTACTAAACCTGGACTACAATTGTAACTGTACATTGTGATGAAATTAAACTAAAATACAAAAATAAGGATACAATTTATAAAGATAAACCTAGGCGGTGTCCATCTTTTGGCCATATTTACTGGTTTACATGTTGACTTTTTCTTCAAAACACTTTATTTTCATACAACCATATTAAAAATAACATGAATAGATTAATAAATACAATGAATATTGATCAATATTCCTACAGCTGAAGAACTGTTTACAGCAGATGGGTTTCAGGTTAACATGGAACCTTTTGTTACTGAATGTGCCGCAATTTGTGGAAAATGAGGATTTATTTTAGATTAAAGTTTGCAAATCTCCAGAATGATTTAACAAAAAGTTAAAACAGAGTCAATATACACAAAAAAAATCTTTATTTTTATATGATTTTATAGTATTTACTAATATTTTGAGTAATGAAGTGTTGCACGCTTACTCAAGAAAGAAAGTTTTACAAACATTTCTGCCCTCTATCAGAACAGAGAGATCAGCAGGTTTAGGGGACCTCTGCAGTGGTGATGAGGCAGAGACATGGTTCAATTTATTCATCCTTAAAAACATGGAAAATATAAACATACATGTGGTCCTGATCAAGCAAACATAGGAAAAAAAATATCCACAATATAACCTTCGATAAAAACAACATAAAAACCTTATTTCATAATAAATAACTGCATAAAAACAATACATCCACAAAACATAAAGCAGACTAAGGTTAAAATAAATTAAAATCCCAGTTTACCTCTATATAAAGTTGTGGTTGTGCTGTAAACATGCGTTCACTTACTGAAGTCCATTTGAACCTAATGCGGTCACTTACATACTTAAAAAGCCTGATTGTTCATTATTGAAACCCATATTTACATTTATTGTTAGGCTGCGACCTCTAGTGGTCATAGGACTGTAGTAAAGGAAGTCAGCACACACTAACATTTGAGTATTGGAGCTTGTCTTGGTCATAATTGTTTCTGAGAATAATGAAACCAACTGCAAAATCCTTTTCTGTAACTTGGAAAATAATTTTCCAGTCTGCCAGCTGAGAGAGAACAGGGTTAAAAAATTTAAAAACTATTTGTGTTTGAATGAACAATGATTTAGTTATAAATGTTAGAGATAATCACAACTTAATTAAATATCCAATGTCAATATAGCATGAGAGATCAGTTAATACAAAATTGTTGTTTCAAATATTTGTTTTCTATTTTCAGAGTCTCACTCACAACTAGATGGTAAGTCAAAGTTTCTATGTTCACTTTTTTTACTTCCTGTCTGTCCGTCATTTAAGACGTTTTAAACATGTTTTTGGGAGGTTTATAGTTTTATTATTGTGACTATTAACCCCGTATTGTTCACTCTGTGTCTTTACGGTCTCTCTCCTCAGTGTGTGGTCGGCCTCCGCTCAACACCAAGATTGTTGGAGGACAGGAGGCCTCTGCAGGCAGCTGGCCCTGGCTGGTCGATCTGCGATTCTCTGAGGTCCACTTATGTGGAGGATCCCTCATTAACAATCAATGGGTGCTGACTTCCGCTCAGTGCTGCTCAAGGTAAACAGTGAGGGTCAAGCCGCGCCAAAAAAACAAAATGCCACATAGTGGCATAAAAACACTATCTGAAGAAGTGGATCCCAACCCGGGGGTTGCAGGATAAATAAGATGGGTCTTGATATGATAATCAAAATCTGTTCTGACCTGTGAGGATGGGTCGGAAGCAGACAATGCTCCATTTTGAGGGGTCACCAGCCAAAAAGGTTGGGAACAAGAGCCCCACTGGTGTGACGGGGGAACAGACATATTCTGGTTAAAACAGCTATAATTTTTATTTTCATAAGAACAAATGTAAAACTGTGTGAAACCACTGTGATAAAGTGAATGGTGTCTCTGAAAAGTATAAGCTGATCTGCAGCTCCCCTCAGCTTTATGGATATTTATATTGAATTTCAGCTCATTGTTTATCTATCCAGCCACAATTTTACTGTTCTGATTCACTCTCAGCGCTCTTATAGCGTAATTTTCAGAGAAAAAGCTGTAAAAAGCCACTGAATGCTACCTGCTCAGCAGCAAACAGCAGACGAACACAGAGACGAGTTGGTGAAAGTAGTGGACCATTTAGCTGCTAAAGAGACAGATATTTATATCAGGTAAAAAAAACAAAAACTACTTTGACACTCAAGAGGTAACAGAAACTAATGTTTCAGGAAAAAAACACATGCTCTTTTACTTACTGTACTTTTAAATCACTTAATTTGTTCCTTAAACTTAATCTCTACAAACAGATATCCTCATATGAATGCAGAATCTGTAGGCAAGATACAGGTTTTGGGTATCGGAAGAGTTCTGGTTTCCATTTGTAATCCAACTAGTATTAATCTCAACTGTAAAAACAGTTTGGGACTGAGACACAGGGTTAGACCTCATATTTTGGCTGGGGAAAATATATTGTTTTGCTGTAAAAAACTACCTTGGATGAAATTGGGCATTTGTGGTGTGCCATTACGCGTTGTGAAATGCTGTGCGGGGACCGCTTTATTAGTTCTCTGGGCAGCTGGTTCTGTGCTTGGTGGTACCATATGGACCCAGCGTGGCACTGACTAACCCACTAGTGACAGCCTATTCAATTCAATTTTATTTATATAGCGCCAAGTCACAACAACAGTTATCTCACAGCGCTTTTCATAAAAGAGCAGGTCTAGACCGTACTCTGTTATTTACAGAAGCCCAACAATACCCACCAAGAGCAGCACTAGGCGACAGAGGCAAGGAAAAACTTCCTTTTAAGAGGCAGAAACCTCGAGCAGAACCATGGCTCAGGGTGGGCGGCCATCTGCCTCGACCGGTTGGGGTGAAGGAGAGAGAGGGCGAAGCCTGTACAAAATAGAATGATGTTATTTTCTGTAGCATAGGCGCAGCCCTCTAAGCTGTGGGCCTCACTAGTGCCCAGAATGGCTGAAGAAAAAAAGTGTTTTGGGAGCCAATGGTCAGGTCTCACTCCCATTGATACACAAGGTAAGATCATGGTTGTGGCCGTAGACAAAGCGGTCTTCAGTGCTGAAAGTGCAGGACACAGCCTATAGTGACAGCCTTAGAGGGCTGCCCCTATACTCATAAAAACTGGAGTTACAGCACGTAACTATCTTTTTTCCCGCATCATTTTGAGACAGGATGTGCCTTATTTTTGCAGAACTACATGGGTGAAAAAGGTGGTCCTTGTTCAATTTGTTTAAAGTGGAAGTTAAAAGGACATGTCCTGATCAAAGATAACTAAGAGATTCCCTACAGTGGTGCTGGAGGCCAGAGCAATGCCATTAGATAATGCATCTCGGAGGTGTTTGGGACCAAGCACATTAAGTTGTCTGAGTTTAGCACCGATTTTTGAGATTTTGACTCTAACACATTTAACTGGGTTGAGTTTAGAGCAGCAAAACTGCATTACTAACACACAAACACCGGAAATGAGTCAATTCACTTACCGCAGCTCATCAGCACACAGGGAATGATTTTTAATTTACTGAGGATACTGTTAGTTTCAGTGCGTGGGCTGAACGCTGGTAACAAGATCTTGGACTCAAAAGCAGACACGGAGATAAAACAGGTAGAGAATTACACACACAGGTGAAAACACTGAGATAATCAGACAAGCACAGGAAGTAAAACATGACAACACTACAAGCAGACTTAACTACAAACTAAAACAGGAAGTAAAGCTCACTGAATACAAATTGATACAAATGACTAACTTGTGGGAAAGATATCTTCCTGTTGCTAGGAAGCTCCATACATACAAGACTAGATATGGTCTTAAAATGGACTTGCTCAAGCTCTCTTGACTACAGTTCTGCTTTTGATGTCTTTGCATCGTTTTGTTTCTCTTCTCATTACAGCGAAGGTGTAGGCCCAGACAATCTGACTGTGGTTCTGGGTCTCCAGAATCAACAGGGATCAGGCTCCAGCCAAGTGTCTCAGACAGTTACACAGATCATTGTTAATCCCAACCATATCTCTGGAAGTTTTGACAATGACATCTGTCTCGTGAAGCTCTCCTCACCGGTAAATTTCACGAACTACATCCAGCCCGTCTGCCTGGCAGCGCAAGGCAGCACCTTCTACAACGGAACCGACTCCTGGCTTAGCGGCTGGGGCGACACTGCAACTAATGGTGGGTCTATTCAAAACAAAAACAAAAATACAAGGTCAATATTTGGGTTAAAACATAAAAAGAAAAGTATACTTCCATTATTCCATGCACTTTACAGCCTAATATACTGTACATGGTTATTTTAGACACCAACATTTTCAATGTCAAAGATTGATCACTGCTTCCATCACATAAATTAAACGCTTTTGTGGCACAGAAGTGATCAGCTGAACTCACAGAGCCTCCGGCTGCAGCTGCTTCAGGTGTAGTTGGTTTGATCAGCCTCTCTTTTCCTCTGTTTGTGTGTCTGAAGTTTTGTTAAGTGACTTGTTTAAACAGACTCCTTTCTCGTTTTATACTTGTGACTGTAGTTTTTTCTATAGGAAAAACACTTAACAAGATAACGAGATTGTCGGCGTTCACTTCACTTCACCTGTCAGTGGTCATAATGTTATGGCTGATCGGCGGAAATGTCCAGTAAATAGTGAAGCAAAAATCCAGCAAGCAAAAAGGTCGATGAAAAAGAGGATTGCAAACAGGCAGATCACAAACAGGTTGAACTGACAATAGGAAAGAAAAGGGACCAGGTATATGTAACCTCGTAGCCATGGGTGGGCCCAATCAGAGAACTTCCTTTTTTACTGATCAATCATCCAGTGCAGTCAACAAATTTAGTTTCTTCCTTCTTTTTTGCTATTTGATGATGATAGGTCAGATATTTTGAGTGGAAGTGTATTTGCTCAAATTTGTCACAAAAAGACTTTGTGAGGAGCAGGGGTAAGAGATTTCTGCTCAAGTTCAGCCACCATTTTCATCCCAGATACCTACTCCTGCGCCAATTTCTCCGCAACAATTTCCAAGTAGTCGCCATACACTAATTTAGACTTTCCACCGACAGCAGCACCACTTGAGTTTCTAACCACGGCATCAACCAATCCATGTCAAAGTACAGGTAGGCCTAAGTACAGTGCTGAGGAAGTACCAGTCCCATCAGACCTTTCCAGTATACAGCACACACAGTTTAACACCCAGTAGCACATGTGTGCTCCACGGCGGCCTGTAAGATCCACCAAATCCCTTGAAAAAGCACTTATTATTCACCTAATTGAATGGTAGCCGACGAGCCATGGCTTTTAAACAAAATCCACAACAAGCTTTGCAACTCCCTCCTCCTGTTCTTTTGTCTCCTCTTGCAACCAATTTTATGTTTGGGTAGCATGACTGCTAGCTTTGCGTTTCAACTAGCGGGAGTCTTGTCACAGGAACAAATAGAAACTTAAGATCGGGCAACATATACACATTTTACCCAGCAATCATCATTGCACATGTAGGCTTAGTGACACAAATACCAAAGAAAATAAGAAAATATTTATTGTTTGCTACAGACTGTCCGTCAGTGGGCCTTTCCAAAACTGCTTGCTCCTCCCTCTCTCTACCTACTTCCACTCCGTTGGCGCGTTCATGCGGAGGGTCCTCCACATTGAGTACAATCCGAAACCAATGAGGGTGGAGTGGTAGTGGGTTGTTAAACCCTCCAATGCTGACTGAGCACCGATGTCAGCTTGTTGAAGGTGTGTAACACCCTTTGCTGCACGATGGGAGACCTTTCTTTCAAATGTGAGTTCCGTGTGACTTCGCCGATTAACTTTCCAAAACTACTTCCTAACAACATTCCTATTCACATTTTAACAACGTCCAAAGGTTATATTGTGTTTAATAAAAAAACACTCTTGTCTGATAAGACAATACAAACGTTTTTATTGAATCATAGGCTATTCATCTCATAAAAAAATCTTCAGCCAAAACAAAATAGCCTACAGTAAACGACAGAATAATAGAACATGGCACAACTAGATACACAGGGGGACCACGTAACAAGCAACAAGGGCATTAAAGAAAAATAATTAAGTCTTTATAAATTTTAACTTTTAAATTCTTCAGAATATATAATAATTCAATATAATGTTTGATTCATTTGTGAATGTAATTTTTTTTCATATAAGATAAATGGGTTCAAATATAGACTTTTATTTTACAATGAATATCAATCTTTTCATGAAATAATATACTATTTCTTCATCTCCTCTAATCTTAAAGAAATATTCTAAATCTAACCTCAATAATTTGGTTCATAAACAAACACAAAAGAAATGATTTCAGTTTCGTTATTGCAAAAAACAAAGTTTTCCTCAACATCAGTCCTGAATCTTCATACAACTGTTTCATACGTATTACGGAAGTAAGGAACGTCAGATCCTATTTAGGCTGGGGAGAGGGTAGTTTGTTCGAAAGTCGGCCGCTGTATTTAAACCCCACGCGGGTTAGAGAGCTCGATTTCGCTCCAACCAGAGTTCATTCTGTAATGGAGTGGAAGTGACGAGGGTCTAGTTTTCGAAAAGGCCCTATAACTCCGTCCTTGGCAAGAGACTGATGAAACTGTGAGAGGGGTGAGTGTGAAGTAGAGGCGCTGTTGGGCTTTCTTCGCCACTGATGCAGCGTTCATTGTCCAGGAGAAGTCCTCTGTAATGTGCACACCCAAACATTTGACACTGCTAACGCTCTCCACAGTAGAACCATTGATGCTCAGCGGGGATGTTGTGTGTGTGTGTTCTCCTGAAGTCAATTACAAATATCTTTTGTGCTTTCCACATTTAAGAAGAGATTGTTGTCGCTGCATCATGTGGCCAGTTTTTCCACCTCATTCCTGTAGTTTGTCCCATCATTGTAGTTGATGAAACCCATAGTTGTGTCTTACGCAAACCTAATGAACACGTTGGTGTTGTAATTTGATGTATAGTCATGAGTCATATGCCTCACTTATGTTTGACACATCTTAATTCTGCATTTTTGTACTCCCTCACCAATTCACCTCCCATTTAAAGGTATTATAAGATGTAAGGAGGTATGCTATGACAATCCTGTCACAAAATTGGAATTATGTGGGTGGGCTGCCACTTGTGTTGTTTACTAAATTGAATTTGTGTCTCTTTAGTGTCCTCAAATTCCCCAGGAAACCTAACAGAGTTGGAGCTGTTGATTCTGGGGAACAGACAGTGTAATTGTAGCTTTGGAAGGGGCTTACTCACAAGCAACATGATTTGCGCCGGGTTAAATGCTGGAGGGCAGGTCTCCTGTCAGGTGATAATTTTTATGCCTTCGTTTGCGTCAGATTTTACCTTTTGCAAAGATTCCTTCTCCTAAATTTTTCTCTCTCTTTAAAGGGGGATTTAGGAGGTCCATTGGTGAGCAAGCAGGGCGGTCGCTGGATCCAGGAGGGAATTGTGACTCTGGGAAATGACTGTACTGGGCCTAATTTCCCAGCATTGTTCGCCAGAGTTTCCCAGTATCAGTCCTGGATCAACAGCCAGATCACCAGCAACCAGCCAGGCTTCCTCACCTTCATGTCCAATGGGACTGACAGTGACCTCAGCTTCACCTGTCCTGTTCCGCCACCAACAACCACAGCCCCACGTAAGTGCCTGCCAAGCCCAGACTTTGTAAACACTGATTACTAACCCTACATTTCTTGTTGGAAAGTTTTCTTCCACACAGTATAACAGTTTCATACATATTCTATATCAGCTTGTTCCAGCTCTTCATTGAAGCAGATGACACTGAGGGAAATATTCAAATTATAGACCACATATTGTTTTATGGCTGCATCATTCCATCAAGCTTAAATATCCTAGATGTTTTGTGTATAATTTTGTCCAAATGTCCCCAAATATTTAGTGTGACTTCTTTGGTGTGTTTGGAAACATTGAGATATCCACTATAATTTAGAATAAAGCTCTGTGGTTTGAACAAAGTTTGACTAAACTATGTGATGTTGTGATGGTGGGTCGTCAGTATCTGGTGTGAGATTAAAAGGCTTTACTTAAAATTTTTTTTTTGACTATCTACCTTTTGTTCTTCTCTCCAGCTGTGGTCTGTGGCCAAGCCCCACTGAATTCACGTATTTTGGGAGGAAGCTCTGTGGCGACAGCTGGTGTTTGGCCATCGATGGCGAGCCTACGAAACAATGGAAGTCATGTGTGCGGCGGGACTCTGGTGGCTTTAGACTTTGTGTTGAGCGACGCCAACTGCTTCTCAAGGTGAGAAACCTGGAGTCTGGAGTGGAACCTGATGTCCTGGATGGCATGAAGTCTGTCTAATGTTTGAGCCATTTAAGAACAGAAGGAAATGTTTTTTAAACACTCAATAGGAACAAGACCAGGTTCAGACTGCAGGCTAAAGAGACCCAAATCCAATTTTTTTGCCCATATGTGACCCAGATCTGATCTTTTTATGACAGGGTGAACAGGCCAAGTCACATGGAATCTGATCTTTTTCTGGTCCAATTTTGGCCTCGTGTGTGGGCCAAATCCGATACAGATCGGATCTTTTTAAATGCGACCTCAGTCTGGATTCTCAGGTCGGAATTGATGCGACTTTGACGTCACTCTAGAGCAGCTGTTCTGCTGTAGATGGAGTCGTGGTGAATGAAAAAGCTCCACAAAAGCCATTATTACACATGTTGCTCTCTTCCTCCTCTACCTCGCTATCATCTCACAAAGATGCGAGCTTTCTTCTGAGTTGTGTGCATGCTATTTGTCCGAGCGGACACAGTGGGGAGAGAGAGGGGAGGGAGTGAGTTGTGGGGCAGCGCCAGAAACCGTAATGAAAAGAACAGAAAGTTGTGAACACTTGTCATAATTCAGGTGAAATGTGACCCGTGAGTGGACAATGAATGTCAGTTCTTCTGACAACATCTAGTAGATGCTGAGATGTTGCACTGGATCAGTAGAAACTTTTCATCAGTGCTATTTTGCAGCATCTGTTGGCGTCACTTGGGCATTGTTTTGAACACACTTTTTCATTTGTATGCTCTTATTCACGGATTTTTCCAAAACTGTTTTATCAAAATTTACATGACATGTGTTTACATTAGGCCTTTAACTTAAAAGTGTTCATTCTTTTAGACAGTTAAATTTACTCTTTACTCTAAGACACAATTATATCTTAATGTTTACATTATTAAAAGTTAGGAGTGTCTGATTACATTTTAGCTGAGAGCCACAGACAGGAGGTGAGAACTTACTGAGAGATGGATGTTGTTGGTTTGAGTCTGACCATCAGATTTATTGTTAATGAGAAACAGTCCAAGAAGCTGAATCTGTAAAGGTTCAACCAGAGATTTTAAAGTTTTGATTTCTCCTCAGTCCTTATTCAGTTCATTTTATCTCCCACAGTTCACCCATAGCGTCTGAATGGACTGTCGTTTTGGGTCGTTTGAATCAGAATGGATCCAACCCCTTTGAGGTGACACTGAAAGTGACAAATATCACTCTGAGCAACTTCACTGGGTCTAATGTAGCAGTGCTGCGTCTGGCAACCAGACCCACCCTGTCCAACCACATCCAGCCCATCTGCCTGGACAACGGACAAACCTTCACTGTGGGCTCGACGTGCTGGGCTGCTGGCTGGAGCGCCGGGCAAGGAGGGGGTGAGTCCATAACACAGTTTGACGCAGTAATGCTAACTCTGCACCATTTCACCTCTTTAGATTAAACATTTAGACTGTTGCTTATTGGTTTTAGCACTAACAAATTGGTAAATGTGTATTTGCCCATTTAGTTTAGGTTTCTGCCATCTGGGCCTGATTCACATGTTTCACTTACTATATACTAATTACTATAAATTATTTTATCATTTTCTTATTTTTAGTTCTGCAGGAGGTCCAGACCTCGGTGGTAAACTGTGGAAACGCGTCAACAAGTGACAGCATTTGTACGAGCTCTTTCACTCTAGCGCAGGTGAGTAATGAGAGCAGGAGATTATTATACTTTCATGTTTCTCTTTGTTTTATCAAGGTGTTTTTATATCCTTGAACATTAGAGACTTGTTTTTTTAAAACATAAATATTATCCTAATTATATAGAACAGATGAAATAAAACATCCTAAATAGGATTTGGGAAAAGAAAAAAAGAAGAAGAAACTTGAGTTTATTCTTGACCTTGTAAATAACTGTTGAATAAACTCAAATCTCAAAACAAGCTCCTGCTGCTCTAACACTTCTAGATACTACTGCTACTACTAGATCGTATTGATTTTATTTGAGATCAGAAGGACGTCTCGTCCATGTTCAGATATACAGTATAAACACTCTATTAGGTACATCTTGCTAGTACCTAGTTGGACCCCTTTTGCCTTCAGAACTGCTGTAATTCTTCATGGCATACTTTCAACAAGGTGGTGGAAACCTTCCTCAGAGACTTTGGTCCATATTGACATGATAGCGTCACAAAGTTGCTGCAGATTTGTCGGCTGCACATCCATGATGCGAATCTCCCGTTCCGCCACATCCCAAAGGTGCTCTGTTGTATTGAGATCTGGTGACTGTGGAGACCGCTGGAGTCCAGTGAACTCATTGTCATGTTCAAGAAACCAGTTTGAGATGATAAACTAAAATGTACAGCTCTGACTTGTACACAGACTGTACATCCTGATCCTGCTTGGTAAATATACAGAACGATGTTAATAAATATGCTTGTTCTTATAATTTGCCTATTTTTCATTTCCACAGATAAATGTCAAAAGAGTAAATTAATTACATTAAAACAGAATGATCCTATCAATAATAATTCCCTGCCATTATGAGATTTAAGTGGTGAAGCCCAAAACAGGTTGGGTGATGTGCCATGAATGTAAAATCATTGTGGAGCATCAAAACTAACTGGATGACATTTTCCAGATCTCTATTGTAATTCCTCCCCAGACAAATTCTTTATCATTTGCATATGTTTTTGCAGGGCGAAACGAAGGTCACTCCAGCTCCGCTGCTACAACTCCACAACACCATAGAGGAAACACTAATATATATATTTTTTATTATTATTACTACTACTACTAGTACTATGTGATATCCTTTTTGTTTAATCCATAAAAAAACTGAAGCGTAACCTGAGCTTTATAAGTGGATTTTAATTACTTTGGACAGAAGCCAACTTTCCCTGTTTCCATGCTTTATGCTAAGCTAAGCTAATCAGCTTTTGGCTGTAGCTATATATTTATTTTATTTCATCAATTTATTGATATCAGCCATAAGGAAGTATTGTCTGTAAAGCACGCTTGGTGAAACTAATAACAGTATTTTACATAAATTTGGACTTGAACATATCTGTTTTTCTTGTTTGTTCAGGGTGATGCTGGCGGTCCAATGATGTGTAAGCTGGGCGGCTCTTGGTTCCAGGCAGCAGTGTTGTCAGTTCAAAACAACAGCACCAGTCAAACACGAGCAGATCCAGTGATGGTCTTCACCAAACTCAGCCGCTTTCAGACCTTCCTGGCTCAGATATTGGGGACGTTCTTATCTCCAGCCTCCACCAGCAGCAGCACAGCTGCTACCACTACACCTACTACCAGCGGGGGCGCTCCTGCTCACTCACCCATCTTCTTCTTCCATCTCCTCATCTTCTCTGTGTGTCTCCACGTCTTCTCATAGATGCAACAAGCACAGATGAATGTAAACAAGCTTGAATTTATCAGTGGAGGCATAAAGCTGCATTAATTAATCTATGACTTGATTCTGCCTCTGACGGCTAGAGATCAAAGAAGAACTTCTTGATGCCAACTGCTTTCCGTCTAAAATGAAGGGTGTAAAATGAATAAAAATTGATTGTTTAAGCAGCACTGACCAAATGTATGTACATGTTTCCAGCAGTTTTCCAGCAGTTCATGGTTTTGAAGCTGTATAGACCAAAAGGACATATGTACCTGTTTAATTTTTTTTCATTTAATACAATATGTGAAATAATAAAATACAATATGTGAAATAATAAAATATGTGAAATCTAATCTACTAAATATTTTTTTCCAAAATGAAGATTATTTTTATGAATGGATGATGTTAAATGGGCTCCCTAAAGTGCACTCATTATGTCATAGTAAAAAAAAAAAAAAGTATGCATGTAGAAATTATGATTTTTCATTTACATACTCTATGGACTTTTGGGTAGGTTACCGCTGAAATGGTAGGCTTCCGTTTCAGCAGTTACCTACCCAAAACTCCACAGTGATGGCTTCTGCCCCCCGACCACTTAAATTAATTAAATCAGTAGTAGTGTTGCAGTTCTCGAGAGCGGTCTTCACACTCCCGCACCTGTGGCCTCTTCTCTCTAACAAGGGGGCGTAACCCCACGCTGCTTCAAAACAGACATTGACGTCCCCAAAGTCACCCCTCTGGCAATAACAGACAACTTAAAAAACCTTCACTGGAGTTGGGTTTCATTTGCAGAAACAAGAAGAAGAAAAATCATCTTTCAAATAAATGCTACCCTTTACATACAGACATAGAGCCAGCACATTTAATCAATAATTGTGTCCAAGCCCTCAGTATAAGTTTGTGGTTCAAAGGCATGTTAGCCTAAAAGCAAAATAATTAAAACTTTATAATGCTGATAACAATTTATGTTCTAGTTTACAATGCAAATATGGCTCAAGCTAGAGTCCTCACTGACTTTCAATCTAAACTGCTGATATTAGCTTAAAGAGGTAACTGCTTTTTGGCTTTTCACCCCAAAAGTAAAAAGAGTTATAAACCTTTTTAGTGCATGTACTAGGTTTGCAAAGTGAAAAAGTCCAGCCCAAAGGGAGTTCCCGTCTCCCACAGAAAACTCTGCTCTGAACTGCCTGAAAACAGCTCGTTTGTAGTCCAGCAGCTTCCCTTTTATCCCTGTGACGACACAGTAAAATGCGCATCATAATGCTTGCTGAGCGACTAGTCCGACACGCCCTCAAAAACACTGGTGGAAAAACACACTGAGCTTCAGCACAGAGTGACAAGACGCTCGCCTGCTGCCTCTCCTCTCCCTTCCAAACACTAGCAACCCTCCAGGCAGTCGATGGACATAAAGTTGTTCCTGTGATGTAGAGACAGAGCTCAGTTAAAACTTTATGGATGAAAGATGCTTTTGTTACAGATTAATAACTCACCACTCTGAAACTCTCGCTCCAGTCCATGTTGCCAAGCTGGTAAGTGCAACTGAACGAAGCCGTGTTTACCGGCTTGTCACGACCCGCCCTTCTCTGCTTCTGATTTGGCTAGTAGTCCTTAACTAGGAACTGCGCATGTGCAACTCCCAACAAAGATCTTGTAGAGGCAAGATGTATCACTCCATAGCTAAAACGAAGCCTTCAACACAGGGTGAAAAGAGGAGCTGCAGCAATGTGCAGTATGACACATGAGTCGTGTTTTTTGAAAATGAAACCACATAAACCTGTTCTGGCACAACCCCTAAATAAGATTTTGAACCTGAAAATGAGCATAATATGACTACTTTAAACCATTCTTTAACTGCTAGTTGTGCCCACTTTTCTTTTGAAATAAATTAAGTAGCAGTTGTTTTCCTTCACTTTTCTTTTTTTCTTTTCATTTTTGGTACCTTGATTTCCGTTATGGGCATGTTGATGCTCCAGCTTCAGCAGTCACTCTGCTTGATTAGCCCATTCAGAAATGAATCTTAGGGCAGGGCGGACTAAACCATTTAGCATCTGGGGGGATACAAAGTTCAGTATCTCAACCAAGTATGTGGGAAAATTTCACTACTGTTACTACAAAACTAATCACAATTGTAAAACAGCCAGTCTCATTCAAAACTTGCCATTTTGCATTCATTTGGATTGTAAACATCTCTCACCACAAAACCATTGATTCAAAATAGAGGTTTCTCATGAATTGTCATGAGAACATGTGGTGTAATCACCAAAACAAAACATACTGATATCTTTTACCAAGGAATCCTATAACAATTCAAGGTCAAGGTCAAGGTCAAGGTGTCTTTATTAGTACCCGAGGGTAAAATTTTTGTGCAGACAGGAGACTTTCGGCAATCCATACATCAAAACATCAAAACAAACAATAAGCATAAAACATTATAAAATATCCAAGGCATAAAACTAGCACAAAACATAAAAACAATACAAGACAAATGTTTCAAATCACCTTAGAAGTGCTGAAAGCAGAATGCTACAGTACTGTAAAACACAGATTACAGTTTTCACATTAGGCAATAAACTTACATTACCCAACATTTGCAGAATCTATCAGTTCCATAATATCTATCCTATATGTAAGTCGAGTCAAGATCAAGTTGTGATCAATGAAGACATTCTCTATAATCGTATGGGACAAATTTATTTTTATTTTTCGAATATAATATTACAAAATGTCTACTCTCTATGATGAAATGTACACAGTTACAGTAAATAAAACAAATAATAATATTTAGCACACATTACATTAATTTGAATCAAGCCTGTCTTGAGCATTTGGCCATACATTCTTGTCTACATTACAATGAATCTTGTCATTGTTCGTGCACCTAAAGAAAAACCTTTTGGCATGTCGAATCCATGCTTGACATTGGTCTACACCTCATCCGTGACCTGAGGGACAATGGGGTGTAATGGGTTTGGTAATCATAGACCTTCCACCTCCATGCTGAAAAAAACTTCATCAATAGGATTGAGGCATGAGAATATGGGGGCAGGTAGAGGACCATGAATCGGGGGTTGGGCGGAAACCATGCTTGAACCACCTCTGCACGGTGAAAAGAGACGTTGTCCCACAAAGCGTGTGGGAAGATGACCACTTCACCTTCACAAAACGGCTTGATTTCATTCAGAAACTAAATGAGATTTGCTGTGTTGTAGGAGCCAAGTAATGGCCTACGTCCTGCCACACCTTCTTCAGAGATAGCTGCACACAGGAGATGTTTCCTCCACATTGTCGGGGCACCTGGACAGTCGTCCGTTGGCCAATGAGGTTCCACCACAGCGACGAGTTTTGGTCAGATTACAGCCAGCTTCATCAACAAATATATATATAATAAATATATTTTCATTAGTTCTTTTTACAGTGTAGTAATAATATACATCAGTAGGCTTTGCATCAAATAGTAACATTAATACAGTATATAGTGCTGTAGCTGAATAATTATGACATTTTTATTTAAATCTCGATGCCATTTGAAACCTAATCCCCAACACCTTCTTCTGACCTGCCTATTGGGTGTGTCCTCTGTTAACCTTCTTAATTCTGCCTCAGTTTCTTTCAGGGTTTTTTAAAATTATTATTTAGGCTGAGTATCAATCTCATAATCCCCTAAATAGCTTTTTCATTACTGTGAGTTGCAGTATGATGGTGACTTGCCCTGCTTATGTATTTATCTTCTTTGGTTGCTGCTCTTAGACTCTCACCCTGACTCTTTTACACCTTTTTCTGTTCTTTCTGTTATCATTGGGTTTATGTTGTTGTTTTTTTTGTTGATCATGTCTCCCTCAAGTTATGCTGATTTTCTAGTAAGTTTCTCTCTCGTTCATAGGATAATTCTTTGATCTTTTTTTGCCACCAGTGGGTCCTGTGGCCTTCTGCCATGAGCTTTTGTGGAGCAGCCAGTCTTCCCTGTCCTCTCAAATCAGCCATTTTCTCTTAAATATTCTAGTTATTGCTATGATTTTTCCTATTGTCTCTGTATTATATATGATTAAGGCACTTCATACTGATAAAGGTAAGGTGTTTTACATTCCCATCAGTTCAGATCACAGGCAGTTCCTTGGGTTTGCCTTTCAGGGCAGGGCCTACGAGTACAACGGCATCCCTTTTGGTCTGTCCCTGTCACGTTCACAAAATGCATGGTTTGCTGCACTTTTCCTCTGTGGCCGAAGGGCATTTAACTATGTTCAACGACTGACTGGTGTGTGCTCTATCAGAGTTTCTGGCACGAAGCCACACAGAAACTGTGTTGGCACACCTGGCTGCTCTCAGGTTTCGTTTGAAAGCAGTAAAGAGCCGCCTGGCTGTCTCTTGTTATGTCTCTGTTTTGGTCGATGCCGAGTGCTCGCCCATGAGTTTGAGCACGGGCAGGAGCATGCGCTTGGAAACATGGTTGCTACCTGAAACCTCACCGCTAGAGGTCACTGAAAACGGCCCCTTAAAGCATAAGGCTGGTGTTATTCCAGGGCCAGGGTTGGTAGATTAAATTGGTGCATACATTTTGAAAATCTTCTGCACCAATTTATGGTTTATCTAAAAGGAAACACAATATTCAGGTGACAATTCAAAAAATAAAAAAATTATAGAATATAATGCAGTAAGGTTCTCAGGCATTCTGTAGCTATTGCTTTTAAATATGTTTTCTCCTGTAGATCAACTTTTCTAATTTAATAAAATCCCTGCTGAGTCAGTACACATGCTTAGCCTTCCCTCCTCTTTTGAGTCTCTGCTTGGGGAAATAACCTCTTTAAATACATGGCATCTTTTGACCTCAGTGATAAATTAATTAATTTTAATTCAGTAAAATAATAAAAATAAAGTCCAGTAATAAATTCCTGGACTTTAATAGCTCCTGTGTTTCAGCAGGTTTTCTGCTCATGTTCAAAACAGAAACGATTGCGATCGAAATATTATGAGACCAACATCATCATTTAATGAGAATTGATAATATTTTTAATTCTACCTGCCCTATTTCCTACTCTGTTGTGCATTACATTATTGCTCCAGAAGGCTATCCCCTTTAGACCGACACAGTTTGGGACTGCGAGCTGCATATGAAACTGAAACCAACCAAAAACACGTGTGATCAGGTAGAAATTTCACCAAAAATCCACACGTTAACTTCAGCAGCTCAAGTAAAGTGCAGCTCAAAGTCCCAAACAGAGCAAGGATGCGCTTCAGTTTTTAGATTTTTATACTGCAAAACTCTACCAGTTACTCTACCAATATTCAATATTCCAGTATAGAGCCAAACCTACAGTCCGTCTGTCAATACTTTCTGACCTCCTGTCTGTGGCTCTCAGCTTCAATTGGCTCCTACTGAGAATGTAAATCTATTCAGCTCACAAATATATAGTTTCATTTAAAAAAGTATGGCCTAAAACATCTACTGAGCAGCAGATTGACATTTGGTGCGTGGTAAGATCAAGTCATGTTTGGGTCTTTTCATGGAATTTGTTGAATAAAAACAGAATATTTACCAGACTTATTCTATAATGTTAGAAAATGTTGTACATGTAAAAATGACATAGCTTTGTGCTGATATTTTGTGGCAGTTAGTAGCCATGCTACCGCTGTGGCTTTGTGGTTGACAACGTTAGTTCCTCCATCATGATTACGATTACGATTATTTAACTTAACGTCTTCTGACGCAGAGAGTACAGAGAGGAAGGGGAGGGGCTGGCCCAGTGAGAGCTGTAATTATGCCAGCCATTGTGTCATTATAGAAAATTAACCATTGGCCTATGTGGTCGTTAGAAATAAAAAAAATATATATATTGCCATGTTACTGGCCCCCAAGGTGCCTTGGCCAACCGGGGAAATGTTCACAGATGGCCTACTCAAATAATTTGTCAACATCACCAATACTGAATCTCACTCCTAATGAAATGGAAAAGTTTGCAGCCCCAGTGAAACAAACTTTCATTATGAACGTGTCTGAATGGTTGCAGGCTCTAGCTGGCAGATCCAGTTTTTAACAAGTAATGTGTTCCTGGAAAAAACACAAATAGTAACCCCCCTAAAAAATCCCCTTAACTATTACGTTAAACCAGACCGTCAAACGAGCAACTGTGTGAGTCAGGTAATGGATACGATACCTTGTAGTACAGCTCAACCAATCAGTAAGAAATGGAAGGACGGCATCAGTCACAGTGGGAGTGGTTACTTTTAATTTTGATAATTAATGTACATTTAACTGATAATACTTCTGTACTTAACAAGTAGATCCGTACAAATATAGACTTTAGTATGTAATGGAGTCTTTGTACATTGCTGCATTGGTACTTTTACTTAAGTTAAGGATTTAAGTACTTCTTCTGTAAGTGATGCACAGACTGCAATAAAAAAAACTTGACGTTTGGCCTTTATGGTGTCGACACTGTTTACTTGTTCATCTTTGTTCATAGGGAGCCTGAGGCTGTTTGACCAGTTCATTCCTGAGCAGGCAACAGGACTCCTCAGTGTCTCGGCCACAGGACACCTCAGTGTCTCGACAGCAAGACTCCTCAGTGTCTCGGTCTTGCTGTCAATGTAGATAGATGGAGATAAAAGGTGAATCAGTATCATTCAGCTGCTCTGTGTCACCTACAAGAACTCGATTTGTGGTGTATGTTTCCTTCATAACTTCATGATGAATCCTAGGGAAGAAATAAAATATGTGACTTTCAACTTCCGTGTGCAGGGTCCTACCCAACAAGATATAAAGCAGATAAAATTAGTTCCACCTCGTCCATCTACAACCTTAAAAGCTCAATAATATAATGTGTATAATAATATAAAGAATATGATTCTGCATATAGAGGACTTTTACTTTTGATACCTTAAATATGTTTAGGTAAAAATACTTCTGTATTTGAATGCACTTTTACTTGTAATACAGTATTTTAAACTGCTATCAATAATTCTGCTTATTAAGAAGGGTTCTCCTTCTACTGGTATGCAAATCTGAAAAAAATAAAATCAAACATCATGTTGCTGAGTTTTACTTAATTTTAATTTAAATGAACTGAAATCAAAAACTACCTTGGCGTGAGAGATCAGTCTAAATAGTGATGTCTAAGTGATGCTTGTGATAGATGAGCCAGAATACATGTCACTCCTGTAAGGTGACAGGAGGTTAGTTACTAAAAGTAGTCAAGTAATGTAGCCTACTCTATTACAATTGTCCTTTATTCAAAATGCTAAGAAAGGTCAGCTAAATGTACCTCAATACCTCAGTATCAGTAGTTAAAGTAGTGGTTACTGTAAGATGTCTCCTGAATCTGTCATTAGATTGTTAATACTGATGTATCTTTTTACACAGTCAGTTAGTTTTTACTACTTTATAGAGTTAGCTATTTTTAACTACTTTACATACAGTTAACAAGTTTTAAGTACTATAAATGGGCTGTTTAACTACTTTATCTAATTTTTTCTACTTTATGAAGATAGTTAGCTAGTTTTTTTTACTACTTTATTTACAGTTAACGTATTTTAACTACTTTCTATCCAGCTAGCTAATTTTAACTAATTTATAAGCAGTTAACTAGTTTTAAGCTAGTTTTAGCTACTTTATATAACTAGTTATAACTACTTTATATAGTTATCTAGTTTTTACTACTTTATATAGTTAGTTGTATTAGCTTTTAACAACTTTATGTACAGTTAACTAGTTTTACTTTAAATACAGTTAGCTAGTTTAACTACTTTATACAGTTCTCTAATTTATAGCAAGTTTTTCTGCCACTTTATTTACAGTTAACTTGCTTTAACTATATATACACAGCTAGCTAATTTTGACTCATTTATATACCGTTTTAACTACTTTATACAATTAGCTAGTTTTAACTACTTTATATACAGTTGAGTTTGCTAGTTTTTAGTACTTATTATACAGTTATATGTACGGCCCCTCCAAATACCAAATAAATCTGAGGGGTCATGTGATGATTAATGGGAGAGGAAGGAGATTGTTTTCTTTTTTTGTTTTTTTTCCCAGTCGACTTTTCGTTTTTCGACTTTTTCTGATCTTTGACTTAAAAAAAAAATTGTGGGTAATTTGACCTCTTTGGGACTCAATTATTCAGTTGTTGAAATGAAACCATGTGAGAAGTTCAGAGGGGAAATGTCTGGTGGAAGTGATAACAACTCAGAGACAGGCAAGGAGACACAACTAGATACAGATTTTTGTAAGAAGTCACAAGACAAAAAGGTTTAATCTGTACCAATGCATAGTATTAAACTTGTCATGTTTGTTTTTAATGAAAAATCTAAAATGTTACTAGTTACGACAGGTGTTAAAGGTCCAACATTTCCCTCTAAAGGGTGGTGCATTTGGAGTACAAAAATAAGATAGCATGTGATAGAAATACTCAGGTAAAGTACCACAATGTTGTGCTTAAGAACAGTACTTGGCTTAGAGATGGTGTCATGTTTGATGTACTGTGAAACAGCTGATTGGTGAGGTGTTGGGTGTGTCACTGGACAGGTAAATACAGAGAAAGGTGTCTTTGTGTTGCAGGTAGATCGATAGGGGGAGAAAGAGGGAGGGGAGAAGAAGGTTATTTATGCCGATGCAGGTGTGATGATATGGACTTTCAGTTATGGCTTTGTACAAAGTGATCTGTGTGGCGACTCTGCTGACTCTCCTGACACAAGGTAAGTACACACCTGAACCATTCCTGTTTGAGATCTAATGTAGTATGAGGAGGAAGATAAGTATGAGTAAAGGAAAAATCTCATAAAAGTGCAAATCCTTCATAGAAATTTTTTAGAATTTTTACAAAATTCTTTCAATAAAATGTACAAAACCAAAATGCTTAGTGTGTTCCATCACGCTGAAAATATACATGAATAAAATTAATGAAAATGATCACATCTAGGAGAACAGAAATGAAATAAATAAACACAACCATATATATGTATTGAATGTTTAAAATTAAATCAATAGGCAAAGTGAGCAGTAACTTTAGACGTCAGATAAATGTAGAGGAATAAAAACAGTTTTGCACTGAACTAATGGGTTCATTTAACCTAATTTACAACTTTGTTGCCAATAAATTTTCACTGTAATTGTCGGACATATGACAATATAACTACTCTGCTGCCTTCTGGGAAGAGATATAGAAGTTTCTGCTGCTGCACCACCAGACTGCAGAGCAGCCCCCCCCCCCCAAGCCATCAGGCTCTTAAACTCTAATTCATCCTCAGCACTGCTCCAGTGATAATAGTTAATTTCTGTTTACCATTTTTCATAGTTGATTTTTTATTAATGTAAATTCTCTGCTATGACAAACAGGCAGTCTCTAGCCGTTTCTAGCTCAAACCTGTGAGAAGTGACATTATAACACCATATTTGAAAATGCATATAGGCTTGTGGGTCTCGGAGAATTCAACTGTACAGCCTCTAATTTTGTCCGTCACTATGAATCACAACATCCTACACTGTATCCACACCCTCAATAGCTTCACACAGTCAATCATGTTTTTAAGAGATTTGTTCATGACTTGGCTAAGAATTTGGCAATTTTTTGACTTGACAGGTAAGAAATCGAAAAGAAAATGTTTTACTTCAAATTTGATTTGCATGTGTGTTGTTTCTTAACCTCCCTGTTTAGTTTTCTGAACATCATGTGCAGCCTATTGGATGGCTTAAATGTTCTGTAGTCATTGCAAGACTGTGTGTGATGTGATTCTAATTTAGTTTCACCACAAAATGTTTATGGAGCTTTATCTACATACCCTATGTGATTTGTTCTTGTGACTGATGAGGCAGCATGAAGAAAGTATTGGTTGTTTAAAGTAAAATGGTTTAACATGAATGTGTTCCCCCCTTTTATATTCCTACATTCCCTATTCAAAGAGGTGTGGCATTAATTATTTAAAGGAATATGTGGTTTGCAGAACTAACTTGTGTGTTATGTGAAGATTTAGTCAATCTAATGAAAAGAGTGCATTCATTTTGCAACTTAAAGCCACCTTAGAAATTACATTAACATGAAGGTGACATGTGCATAGGATAAGTCACTTGAATGGGTATAGTTGTGTAATTTGATCCTAATTAGACCAAAAGGAAACTGTCCAATTCTGTTCAGTCTGTCCTTGTAGCAAGCAAATTTGTGGATTCAATCCAATAAAGTGAACTTTTCATTTCTATTCAGAAATATTGATTAGATAGAAGGATGGATCACAGAAACTTTAACCTGTTTTAAAGTGTTTTAGTTTTAGTGGCATCTAGTGGTGAGGGTTGCAAATTGCAACCAAAGGCTCAGTTACTGCTCATTCCTCTCTTTCCAAGCGTGTACTAGAAGCTACGCTCGGCGACACGCTCTGTCGGCTCTTGTGGTCCTCCATTTGTCCAAATTTCACTTCTCGTCTTACTTCTAACAAACCAGACTACTACTTCTTCCATGTAAGAAGACCCGCGGTGTATGTAGATGGAAATGGCCCATTCTAAGGTAAAAAAAACATAACGGTTCATTACGCAAGGTCTTTATACACCACTGGAAACATATTTATGGATATTATATTGCATTTCTGTCGTGAGATCCTCCTAAATGTTGCACACTGGACTTTTAAGGTGTACAGCTGATGGCTTTCAAGTTTAAATGGAGCCCAAAATGTCCTAATACATAAACGACAAAATAGTTTGTTTAAAAAATGCTTTCCGAAACGACACATTTGAGTGTTTCATGTACCAGTTCAGTGACTGGACCTTAACTATGTTGCGCAACTCACAAGACCTAAGTCACATGAAAAAAAAAAAACAGGAAACAGTCACATTTTGGTTAGGTTTAGGCAATGAAACAGCTGGATTGGGTTTGGGAAAACGCTGTGATTTGGGATAAAGAAATCAACTTAATTCATGTGACAGATTCAGTAACAGTATTTAACTTAAAACCAACTCAGTATAACTCAACATTTGCTTGGTGTTCCTCCCATGTAAAGGGGACACAGCAGTAAATGTGAATACAAAATTGTTATTTTTTGTTTGTTTTCTATTTTCAGAGTCTCACTCACAACTAAACGGTAAGTCAAAGTTTAAATTTTTAACTAGTGCTGGTGTGTAGTGTGTGCTGTCAACCCTGCATTGCTCACTGTGTTTTTTTGTCTCTCTCCTCAGTGTGTGGTCAACCTACGCTCAACACCAAGATTGTTGGAGGACAGGTGGCCTCTGCAGGAAAATGGCCCTGGCAGGTCAGTCTGCAAACCTATGGGTTCCACTTCTGTGGAGGATCCCTCATTAACAATCAATGGGTGCTGACTGCTGCTCACTGCTTCGCAAGGTAAGCACTGAGGGTAGGGCGATGACAAAGCAGCGGCTTTTAACAGCCTGTTTAAGGCAGTGGTTCCAAACACAGAGGGGTTGCAGGATAAATGTGAGTGGTCTCAAGATGATTGACAGTACTGGAAAGAAGAAAAGTCGCTCTAGGGCCCAAGGGCCCCTCTGGTGTGACAGGGACCCAGCCATTTCCTGGTTTAAGCAGCTATAATAGTTATTTTCATTATACCAATAGTAAAACAAAAATTGAGAGAACACTGTGACTCCATTACTCAATCACTGTACCTTTGAATCATTTAAATGGTTCCCTCAACCTAATCTCTATAAACAGATATCTGCATATGAATGAAGAATCTGTAGGATCTGGAAGAGTTCTGTTTGCAGCCCAAATAGTTTTGGCTAATCACATTTGAGCAGGCTTTGGTTGCATGCAAACAGTATACAGTCCCTGTGAAGAGCAAAAGAGGTAGCACACATTGCCGTTAATGGATATATGGATAAATTGATATACTGTATGCTGGCCACACCAGAAGGACTGAAACAGTGGCCGTTGGTCCCAGAGGATAAATCATCGTCAGAAGATGGCCGCTGGGTTCCGAGATTGCCTGCAACCTAACAAGTTGTGTCCATTAATCAATCATACCATCCAATTAATACATTTGTCTTTGTTCCCTCTCCTTTTTGAGCTAAAACCATTTGGACTGAGATCCAGTGATAGACCCCACATTTGTATTATCTTTGACATTTATGCTGGGACGATTGTTTTGCTGTTAAAAAGAATTTACTTAAAGTGGACTTCGTGTCTGCTAAAGTGTTCTTGACTACATGTCATGTTTTTCATGTTTTTGCACTGTTTTGTTTCTCTTCTGATTACAGCACAGGCATAACCACACGCACTCTGACTGTGTCTCTGGGTCGCCAGACTCTACAGGGATCAAACCCCTATCAAGTGTCTCGGACAGTATCACAGATCATCATTCATCCCAGCTATAACGCCTACAGTAGTGACAACGACCTCTGCCTCCTGAAGCTCTCATCAACGGTGACGTTCACTACCTACATCCAGCCCGTCTGCCTGGCAGCCACAGGCAGCACCTTCTACAAAGGCACTGAAGCCTGGGTCACCGGCTGGGGCACCACTGGATCTGGAGGTGGGTCAGAAAGCACCTTGATTACATTTTCAGAGATAGTGTGTCACGGCCTGGCAACGGTACCATTAATGTATTTACAACAACTTAAATTTTACATTTACTTAACATAATTACTCAAAATAAGGCAGTGAGGTATTGGCAGTGTAGTATGGTAATCAGTAAGTCAGTAGTGTCCACATGTTTGCATGGATGAAATTATGAGTGCAATGATGTGTTAATAAAGAAAGCACAATAATGAGGAACGAGGACTAAAGGGAACTGTGTTTCCCTCCTCTCTATCTCCTAAAGTGCAACAGGTAGAATCTGCTTTACATAGGAAGAACACCGGGCCCCAGGTGGCTCCAACACCAAACCCGCCTACTGACACCTACAACAGAACACACATGAACACTCAGCAACCTGACACAAGGACTTCTCGGGGACGTCACAAGCGTGACTACAACGGTGGCAACAACTGTGTTTTCTCAGCAAAAATACTGCTTTACCCATCAAAAGCAGCATCAAAACCTTTCCATTAACTTCCTCTGTGTAGGGATACTTTTATCAGTCTGCCTAGGACATTAGCGAACAAACAGTTTTGTAAATAATTTATATTTTATATTACACCCCACAATACAAACATGTTTGACAGAACAACGTAACAGTAATTGATCTTTTCTTGGAGCTTTTGTGGTAAGCAGTTTATTTTGATGATGGCGCCAGGGGAAAGGTCATTAAAAGTGACATGTGGAGTTTTCTTTAAACAAAGAAAAGTTAATTTACATCAAGAGTTTATTAACATTAACAGTTTCTCACCAAATAACATTGTGTGTATCCTTCAGTCCCAGCAAATGTGTTGAATGTGTATTATTCATCATAAAACATTTGCAAAGCAGATTTTTAAACATTTTAAATTACGCATTGTTTAAAACCACGTTTGGTTGCTAGCATTCTTCTTCTTCATTGTCTTTGTCGGTGCATTTCTACACTAGGGGCCTAGATCAGTCTGCCAAAGCTCAGTATAGAGAGGACATCTCAGTCACTGTGCAGTTCCATCCTCACCACCAGACTGGCCTTCTTCACCAGCTTTCCCAGTTTGTTGACCGCAGGATGGTGCACACATTGAAGGACCTGAGCCTCCTCAGGAAGAACAGTCTGCCCTGTCCTTTTCTGTAGAGGGCCTGTGTGTTATCTGTCAGTCCAGATGGATGTTTAGTTGCACCCCGAGGAATTTGTAGTTTTCCAGCATCTCTTCCCCCAAGAGAGACCAGACAGTCCTGAATTACCAGCAGTTGTCCCGACTCATGTCCTGTTTGTCCCAAACATTAGACTAAACAGGAGTTTTGATTAGTTATGGTCCAACCATCCATCAGCAACCGCTTATCCCGTCAACCACTTATCCTGTGCACAGGGTCGCAGCCTATTATTATTATTAGACTATTTATTATAGCCTAATAAAACATTAAATTCTGATCATTATGAAACATTATTTTGGTGTTGCCCACAGATGGTATTATTCCATCGGCTGCAGCAGCGACAGGGTATCATGAATATGAGTCAATGGAGTTGTTATAGCTGCAAAGTAACACACGTGCTCCTTTCCCGCAAGGACAGGGGAAGTATAGCTGCAGGCAGCCACAGAGAAGGAGAAGTCTGATACCGGCGTTTGGCAGACAGATATAACAATGTCACTTGTGTTGTTTACTAAACTGAATTTGTGTGCCCCTCAGTGCCCCTTCCTTACCCAGGAAACCTAATGGAAGTGCAGGTGCCGATTGTGGGGAACAGACAGTGCAACTGCAACTACAGAGTGGGCACAATCACAAGCAACATGATCTGCGCCGGGTTAAGTGCTGGAGGGAAGGACTCCTGTCAGGTGATCATTTTTACCTGGGTGTTTGTGTCAGATTTCACCTTCTGCAAGGAGTCCTTCTCCTAAATGTTTCTCTCCATAAAGGGGGATTCAGGAGGTCCTCTGATGAGCAAGCAGGGCGGTCGCTGGATCCAGGAGGGAATTGTGAGTTTTGGAATAGGATGTGCCCTGCCTAATTTCCCAGGGGTCTACACCCGAGTGTCTCAGTATCAGTCCTGGATCAACAGCCAGATCACCAGCAACCAGCCAGGCTTCCTCACCTTCACGTCCACTGGGACTGACGGTGACCTCAATGTCACCTGTCCTGGCCTGCCACTACTAAAAACCACAGGCTAATGTAAGTACATGCCACGTCCAGACTTTGATTTTAACCCTACATTTCGGCCTACAGGCCTAGGTGTTCTTCTGCTCCAGGTGTCACAGCCTAACGGTGGATTGTCGAAGAATTTGCATCCTCTGTGGACCGATTGTTTCTGTAATCAAACTGTAATCGATCTAGGTTTGCAGGGAGACAGTTTTTGATATGCCGCATGACCAGCTGCTTGAAGCAGTTCATTAAGATGGGTGTTGTCGTTAAGGCAAGCTGGGTTTGGCTTCTTTGGGATTGGAACGATGGTAGCGCATTTAAGTCACCTGCGTACTGTTGCCATGCTGAGTGAGATGTTAAAAATGCCTGCAAAAACGTCTTTCGGTTGCTCTGCATATTCCTTTAAGACACGTAAAGGAATGTTGTCCGGTCATGCTGCTTTGCGTTGGTTGACACTGGCAAAGACCGTTTTCAGTCCAGCTGCAAACAGCTGGAATACCTGGTCTCTGGACAATGGCAGGGGACTCTGTGTCTGGAAGGTGTTTTTGGCCTCAAAGCATGCATTAACATTGTTTAGTTAATTTGGTAGAGAGGGGTCATTCTGACATATCCCTGTCTTTTGTGAGGTGGCTGTTTTTGTGTATACAGCCTCTTTACTTCCTTGATCCCCTTGGTAAAACTAAGGGAAAAAAGAATATTATTGTCTGTATTTTCACAAAAAGTCTGACTTGAGCATATTTGTCTTGCTTGTTTGTTCAGTTTGATTCTGACGATCCAATGACGTGTGAGCAGGGTGGCACTTTCAAAATAACCCCGCCAACTCACCACCAGTCGACCACGAGTTGACTCATTATTAGTCTACACCAAACTGAGCTGCTTTGAGGCCTGACCGGCTCAGACAGTGGGGACGTTCCTATCTCCAGCCTCCACCAACATCACCATCAACAACTCCACCTGTACAGCTGCCTTCAATATTCTCACCGTCAGTGGCAGCGCTCCTGCTCACTCCCCCATTCTTCTTCCATTTCCTCACCTTCTCTGCGTGTGAGATTCTGGACACCAGCTACTGTCTCCCTAAAATTAAGTGTGTAAAATTAAGAATTGTTGAAGCAGCACTGTAGCCAGCATGTCATGGATTTTGAAGGATATCTGCATCTGTTTTATTATGATTCTCTGTTTTCAACACAATTACACAATATGTGAAATCAAATCTATTAAATAATCTTACAAACTACAGACTATTTTGATAAGCGAATGTTAAATGGGATCCCCAAGTGACACTCATTATGTTATAGTTACAAAAATATGGATCCAGAAATTATGGACATAATTTAAATGATGATTTGTCATTTACCTAAAACTTCCCCCTCAAAAAAAGGATGGATAACTGGAATGGGTATTTATTGATCACATTAAATATTGGACTAAACTAATATGATGGAATTTCCTACAGTGGTTAACAAAACTCAAAGAAGCATATATTAGAGGTCTGAGGAACAGTGACATGATCATCTTGTTCATCACCTACCTCATATTATCAGAGCTGCAGTACCATAATGTACATTTCTTAATATCTGAAATGACCACACAGCATTTGTTCCAAAAAGATGCACTTTACATTGATAATAATTTGATGAGAAAGAAAAGAAATGTCTTTCAGTCTTATGGATTTGCCATGAAATACTGTCCTGTAGATGTGAAAGTGCTGAACAACTTCCACCTTTGTCTTTTTGTCATAATAACCTGCTTTTAAATGAAGTAAAAATCCTTTCGGTCTACTTGTTCCTTTTATGCTTTAAGCATATGTGCTACTGCTCTCAGTTGTATTTCTACAGCTCACATTATTGGTCATTAGTTGTTCTGGTTAATATCTACAAAATTAAAGAGACGGAAAATGTATTGTATGTGTGTTTTCCCCGGTACATAGCCTGCATTTTTACAGTTGAACCTGCAAAGCATGAATGTAGCGTCTACATACAGCCAGTTCATTAGATCCACCTAACTCAAACTAATGCAGTCTAATCCAACTGTTCAGAAGTAAATCCTCCTTTATGATGGTTATAATGTTCTTGTTGAAATAATTTTAGAGACGTTGATTCAACTGTTTTGTTAATTGCACTGTACTGTATTGCTTCATACAGAAAGGTGTTTTTGTAGCCTTCCACCATTGATATAAATGGGGTGGACAAAATAATAGCAGAAAACTGTCGAAATGTTGAACTTGTGGTTCTGCATGAATGAACATGATTATTGACTTACTTAGAATTTACCACGTAGAACATTTTTTATTGCACAAGGACTGAATGAAAATAGCCTAAAAAATTTGGCTGTTTTCCAACTGGAAGTATACTATTATCTGAACATGCCAACTTGTGAATGGGGAGTGCTGGCACCTGTTTTTTTTGCGCTGCCAGTCAGGTTTGAACTAAATAAATTTTTCCCTGTCAGAATTCCCAGATATGATGTGAGATTTCTGACAGTTAAAGGTGTCTTCTCAGATCGAGACAATGCAAGTAAGCAAGTGGGCAAGTAATATATTTCAATGACTTCAAAAAAGCCTTTGATTCCATCTGACATGAGGGTCTTTTCTATAGACTACTTGAAAATATCATTAGGGAAAAACATATGATTTGATAAAGGACATGCATACAAAAAGCAAATGTGCTATATAGGTTAGAAAATATTAAACAGTTTCCTTCCCCTAGGGCCAGGGAGTGAGGCAGGGGTGCAATCTCAGCCCAATTCTCTTCAATCTATATATCAATAAATTTGCAAACCAATTAGAGCCTTCCACGGCACCTGGCCTCACCCTAAATGACACAAAGATCAGAGTTCTGCTGTATGCAGATGACTTAGTGTTGCTTTCACCCACTAAAGAAGGGTTGTAGCAGCACCTTAATCTCCTGCAGAGATTTTGTCAGACATGGCCCTGACAGGAATAACATCAAAGACCAAGATAATGTTCTTTCAGAAACAATCCAGAAACCAGGTTAACTGTAATGAGTCTGCTGTTCTCCTCCCTGTGTCTATGTTCCTCTCCGTCCCAGTGTCTCCTGTTAGTCTCCCTGTCTGTCTCTTTGTTGTCTGTGCCGATCTGGGAGTGGATTTCCACTCCGGCCCTGGCTCTCCACCTCCACCTGCACACCTGATCCGCATTCCACTCATCAAGACTCTGCAGTATATCAGCTCGCTCTACATCTCACTCTTTGCCAGATCGTCAGCTTGCTACAGTGGATCGCTGCCTGCCTGGAGATTAGGCCGACTGCCACGTCCAACTACCTGGAAATTCCCTCGTTGGTCTTCACTCCCTGGCCTGCCCTCTACTCTGCTGGTGCTCCAACACCATTTCAATAAAATGTATATTCCTGGAATAGAATGAGCTCTGAGTCTGCTTTTGAGTCCAGTCACCTAGTCGCCATAACATTAACAGATACAATTTAAATTTAGACACCACTCAATTACAACAAAAAAAATACACTTACATGGCTCTGAAAAATCTGAGTGACAGGAGAGCTTTCTATGCAATTAAAATAAACATTAAAATCTATATTCCAGTTAATATCTGGCAAAAACATTTGTACTAAAACCAATTATTCTATGTGGCAGCAAAATTTGGGGACCAAAACTAAATAATGAATTTGATGGGACAAAACAAGTGAAGACAAAGTGAAACTAAATAAAAAATAAACACTAAAATAAGGAAGGAAATTACCTAAAATAACTAGGAATACACATTGGCTATGTTATAAACCGCTCCGACCCCCACTCCACCGGCCGCTACCTCCACTGTCATTATGAGAATTCAACAGTCAGGGGAACAGGTGTGTCGCGGTTGTGTCCCTCAGAACCGGGAGAAATGAAAAGTATGGCATCAGTCACATTGGGCATGGTTACTTTTAGTTACAGCTTTTATTTCTTCTACAGCATTCATCATAAAGTGTCAATATTTGAATCTTCCGTATGCACAGTTCTTCCCAGCAGTTTAAATTAGCTTCACATCATCCATTTACAACAATAAAAAACTGCTTACATCTTAATACATTATTAATAATAACCCAATAATATAATGTTATTTCATAATATAGAAGTGATTCTACATAAGCAGAAAAGACGATGAGTACCCGGATGGTGTGGAGTGCGGGACACTTTTCATCCTCAGTGGTTGTCATCATAGCTATAGATCGGAAGGGAGAGGTAACTTTATTATGGGTCAGTTGCTGTGTACCCCCCACTGTACAAATCAATGTTACACCCTTGCGGTGAGTGCCACAAATGGGATGATCCCAACCCCTGTCGTGGCGGGGTAAAGTCACAGATGACGTTAATACTTTCATTATGAACATGTCTGAATGTTTATAGATTCTAACAGGCAGATCCAGTTTGTGAGAAGTCATGGAACAAACACAATCGGAATCCCCCCTACAAATCCCCATAACTATCACATTAAACCAGTCCTGCCTCACCAGAAAAACAGAACAATAGGTCAATTGTGCAGCAGCTTATTACGATCCAATTATACCCTTTGTCCTTATAACTACTTTAACAAAGCCAGCAACTGTGTGAGAAGGAGATTAAAAAGTACAGGTCATGTAATGGTAACATTTCCGAGTCCCTGAGCATCCCTTGAAGTACAGCTTAATCAATCAGTACATCAGTCACTGTGGGCCTGATTACTTTGAGTTCTGAAATTTAAGGACATTTAACTGAGAATAGTTCTGTCCTTTTACTTGGAGTATTTTTAACTTGTAATATTTATTACTTAAGTAATTTGGTTCTTTTTGTGAAAGTTATGTATATACAGAGATTGTAATAAATTCTGTGTGATTTGGCCATTATTGTGTTGACAGTTTGTTCATCTTGTTATAATCAAGTTCATTTGTTGCCAGATAGCCTGGGGATGTTGGACTTATTCATTACTGAGCAGGCAGCAGGACGCCTCAGTGTCTTGGCAGCAGGACTCGTTCAGCTGCTCTGCGTCACTGCTCACAAGAACAGATCTGTGGTGCATATTTCCATTGTAACTTCATAGTGAATCCTATAGAAGAAATAAAAGCTGTGTCAGTATTTGAAACTTACGTGTGTAGGGTTCTTCCCAACAGTTTAGAAGCTGTTATCTTGTCCATCTACAACATTAAAACGCTGCTTACATCTCAATGCGTCAATACTAAAACCCATGATATAACATTTATAATAATATATGAATGTAAAAGGGTTGATTAATGATGGGATGCATAATGAGGTTGCATTATTTCCCCTTCGCTCTACTCCCTGTACACCAACAACTGTACCCCCAGCCACCAGACCGTTAAGCTCCAGATAAGCTCCTGAAGTTTGCAGATGACACCACCCTTATTGGACTCATCTCTGATGGGGCTGAGTCCGCCAACAGATGGAAGATTCTGGTGACCTGGTGCAGCCAGAACTAGTGGAAAGCACAATGCTCTTAAAACAGTGGCTTCACCCTGACTTCACAATCCACACTGTGGACTCCTTTAGCTTCCTGGGGACCATCATGTCCCAGGACCTCAAATGGGACGTAAACATCAGCTCCCTCAGCACTAAGGACCAGCAGAGGATGTACTTCCTGTGGCAGCTGAAGAAGTTCAATCTGCCAAAGACAATGATGGTTCACTTCTACACCGCTATCATTGAGTCCATCCTCAGCAGACTGCAGCGTATCATTCACTCTGCTAAGAAGGGGATTGGCTGCAATCTTTCATGCTTTCAGGACTCCCCAACCCCCTTACAATACATACTGTAAAAGGTTGTACAAAAATTATGATCATCCAACGAAGGTTAAAATCAAGGGCAACTGGACTTGGTTGAGGGATACTGGAAGACGTTTCGTCCCTCATCCAAAGGACTTCTTCAGTTCTGGTATCTTCAACCAAGTCCAGTTGCCCTTGATTTTAACCTTCGTTGGATAACTATGACCTGGATGACTGAGAATCTTCATAGACAAAAATTATGATGAAAATATTTTGCATAACACTGCACAAACTGCCATACTGCACATATTCCGTATTATTCTTTTATATTTTACAAATAAATAGTGATCTCTAAGACAGTAGAGATGAGTTGTGATGGAGCAAAAATGCATACCGGTATGTCAAAACTGTGAGGTGACAGGAGGTTGGACGGGTTTCAAATTCAACCAGACTGTGCAGAGATGTAGAATGTTGCCAGGTGAGATTCAGGAATGTCGTCTGTGGAAGCCTGCCAGTGTTTTTCCGGTTTTCTAGAGGGGTAGTCTGAGACTTGGACTTTTTTAAGCTCAAAGCCAGTGTTTGAAGTGGAAAAAATACCCCCCCTTCTCCCCCCGCACTATCTTCAACCTCAAGATGAAACTTGTAAGTATTATAACATTAACTACTTTGAGCATTAAACCCTTAATTTCCTGCATTCTTAACACATTTTCTGCACCAATTTATGGAGGAAATGTCTTTATTTATTTAAAGGGAAACAAAATTAAGGTGGCAGATGACAATTCAAAATATAAAACATATAATGTAATACAATGCAGTACTCAGCTTTTGGACAATGCACAAATGCACATTTGTTTCTTCTATATTTAAGTTGTAGTGCATTAAGTTGTGTTTTGTTTGATTTGTAATTTTTATAGTAACATTTCTTGTTGCTGTTTTTCAGAACATTTTTAAGAAAAGCTTTCAAACAGTGATGGAGACATTCTGATTCTGACCCATCCCCAGTGTCCTCAGTGTAAAGGACAACTATCTGTCAACATTTTTTAATGTCCCGCCCCCAACCAGGCTGTGATTGATCGGTTCACCAAAACTGACACTGACGAGCTGCATTCAGCACACGGCTGCTTGAAAGGCAACCAAGCTTCTCTTCTCCCTCGTCTCTCTCCGCCGACAGATATTAGAAGGCAGGTGAGAACTGGAGCAGGTGAGCATCGGCAGCTTGGGAGTATGCAAGAAAATGTCCCGGTACGCCGAAGAGTAAAATGTTGAGGTGCTGGTTCAGCATACCGGACAGTGGTGGTTCTAGTCCAATTTTATTGAGGGGGCCAGACTGGGGCCAGTTGTTTTGTCAGAGGGGAACATTAAATCCGGGGCAAAAGACTTATTGCAAACTATTTGCATCCCACTATAATATTTGCTAGGAAAACAGAAACTTCTCCATATTCACCCCTGTTATTAGTCATGATGTGAAGTGCACAAAATTAAATATTTGATAGTAGGCCATCATCTGTGGATTATGGACAGGGATACATATTTTGGCAGACTGCATGTCCAGCCTGGTAGGACCAGTAGGCTACTGTTATTGCTTTTTTTGTGTTGTGCTGTTTAAATGCAATGCATTATTAAATTGTTATGATAATAATTTACCCTATAAGGAGGGGGACTGAGAACAATTTCCAGCAATATTTAAGCCTATTCATGCAATAGAAACATAGACTACAAGGACAAAATATTGTCTACAATGCTGCATTCAGTTTAATGTACATTTCGGCGCAAGGAAGATATATTAATATTACAGTAGAGCAGGGCTACTGAATTACAAATTCAATTGGGCTGGATTTTAAAACCAGGATACAGAGATGAGCCAGAAATTTTCTCACGAGTTGGGATCATTAAGATTTTATTGACAAACTTGTATTGCTAATCCTTATACTTTATTAACTTATTTATTAACTAAATGCTGTTTCTAGAGCAGCAACAGGATTTACAACAGCAAAGTCACTAATATCTCACTGGAAACAAATCTAAAATGTCAGTAAAATAAATCCTATTCCTGACATCAACATACTGAGTAAAGTTTAGAAATAATGAACAACCCAGTCCCTCCCCTCCTCCTCCTCCCTCTGCTGCTGCTGGTAGAGCCACAGGTACCGGAGCGTATCGCCCCACTTCAAGAACTGCTCAAAGCCAAATGATCCTCCCCATCCATGGCTCTTTATTTCAACAAACTGGAAAGACATGCCAAGACTAACCAATGTTTAAATCAGTAAACACAAGCCGTGAAACATTAACTTTATAGTTTGAACTCCTGTTGTGGTTTAAACAGTTGTGGAAGAAGTGTGTAGATTATTCAGGCTATTGAAGTACTAATACTCCGTAAGAGTCCTTTATTCAAAATGCTAATAAAAGTCAGCTAAATGTACAGTATCAGTAGTTAAAGTAGTCTCCTGTGACTGATATCTGAGTCTATCTGACATGCTTTACTAATAAAGTTAGCTAGCTTTAACTTCTTTATACACAGCTTGTTGTTTTTTCCTGCTTTAACTACTTTATAATCAGTTACCCAGTTTAATTAGCTAGTTTTTCAGAGTCTCCACATAAATCTGAGGGGTTGTGAGATGATTAATGGGAAAGGAAAGAAGAAAAAACAAATTTGTTTCCAGTTTTTGGATTTTTCTCTCATCTTTGACTTATGAAATAAAGTGGATGACCTCTTTAGGCCTCAAACAATTATTGAAATGAAAAAAGTTTACAGGTTTAGAGAGGAAATGTCTGATGGAACTGATAACAACTCAGAGGCATCATTCAGAGGAAATATGAGGACACACAACTACATTCAGACTTTTGGAAGGTCACAAGACAAAAAGTGTGAATAAGGGAGCAATCATGTAAAATCTTAATTTAAAAACATTACTAGTTCCTACAGGTGTTAAATAAATGTAAAAGGTTCCAGGTACATTTGGAGTGGAAGTATAAGTTTGCATGAAATTGAAATAAGTAAAGTACCCCAATTTTTTTACTTAAGAGCAGTGTAGAAAATAGAAAGAGGAAATTGTTGAGGTGCTGGGCGTGTCATTGGACAGGTGTGTTTGTGTTGGAGGAGAGAGAGTCAGGGAGGGGAGAAGAAGGTTATTTATGGTGGTGCAGAACTGATCATATGGACTTTCAGTTATGGCTTTGTACAAAGTGATCTGTGTGGCGACTCTGCTGACTCTCCTGACACAAGGTAAGAACCCTCCTCACTGTGCACATCACAATTGTGTTAGAGATATAATGACCACTGTATGAGGAGGAAGTAGAATCTTTTAATTAATTAAGAGTAGCCGGAAAGGATCAACATGCAAATCCTTCATTAAAATTTAACTTTTTACCAAACTTTAGTGATAACATATACAAAATGTAATTACTCTTGGACTTTGTCACACTGAATCAAAATATGTATGAATACAATTTACAAAAATCATCATAATTAGGAGAGAAGGAGAAATAAAGGAAGATAAATCTTGTCCAGTTTGAGTAAATTCTCTAAAAATCATTGTGCCATCTGAGAATTTTTAGTTGGCATAAACAACCAACTATATTTACTGAATATTAATAGCATAACATATTTCATAATCAAAACTGCTAAAGGTAAGTATATAGATTAGTATAAATCATAATTGAAATCTTCAAGACGATAAAGAAATAACATACAAATTAAATCATCAAGACATACTGCGCAGTTCTTTTATAAATGACACACACTAAAATGATCAAAGTCAGTTAATAATACTCAGGAACATGTTATTAATCAATGAACTGGTTTTCAGAGGGGAAGTAGCTGGGTTTTTGTACAATAAAGTGAACACAAAGGAAATCAAAAACCCCACCTCTAAGAAACTTTTTGGCAGTGTAATTACAGAGCGATGCAGACACCACTGCACAAGTTTAAAAGCTCATAATGGCAGAAGTTTAAATTAGCCATAAAGAGGTGGAAGGATGTGTCAAACAAACACAGGACTTTCACCCAGTAAAACACTGAGCAAACAAGTCGTCAGTTAAATAGCATTACTGACTTATGTGAGTTAAGTCACATGATTTACGTGACTTACATAATGTACCCAAACCATGATCTTTTCCTAAACCAACAATTTCACAATGTTGACCATGTGTTTGATGTCACTTGACAAAAATATACAGCATGGCCCCCCATAACCCATAATACAATTTTGGATTTATTTACGCACTTCAATATTTATTGAAAGTTTTATTCTTTTTACATGTTTATTTACATCATTAAACGTTGAAATGTATATTGTAATAGGCTGTATATTAACTTATTGGGTGAAAACTGGTAGTAATCAGATTTTGAGCACCCCCATATCGCCAAAATGGCCTGATCCTTGTTTCACTGCGACGCTTCGACTGTGAGATTGACAGTCGAATCAGGCTCCGCCCATCGAAGCATCGAATCTTCGACTACTGGGGGTCAGCCCTATATTACTATAAATAAAATGTATTATTATTAATATTAGTTGATCCCATAGACACTAAACATTTGAGCCAAAATAGCCTAATGTTGCTGTTTGATATAACTTCTGACTACACCAAATAGTTTTAAAACAGGTCTGTTCTAAGGCATTTATTAGTTTCTGACTCTGATGGGGAAAAACAGTTCCCAAAAACTACTGTATCTCTGAGCTCTCACAAACGTGGGCTATTCTATGTGATCTCCTTTTGATAACAAATTTGCAATAAGTAATGCAATATTGTTTCACCTCCATTCACTGAGCCTCCCCAGTAAACTGTTCGGAGCCCCCCTAGGGAGGCCCACCTCACACTTTGAAAACCCTTGTAGTATGTCATTTTAGGAGTTACTGACAACCAATCTATTTCGTTGTTCAGGTATGAGGACATTTAAAAAATGTAAACTCTGTCAGTCAGTGATGTTGGTGTTCCTGTCAGGCCTGAGATACCTGTCAGCACAGGTCCCAGCGGTCTGCTGACATTCCCACATCACATCTATCACCAGACACGATGACAGAAAAAGAGCATGTCTCCTTGGGGGTGGCTCTAACAGCACTCTGTTTTCCTGATTAACTTAAATTCACATTTTTGTAAACAACATAATACCACATAAAAAGAAACAAATTAACACCTAAGGAACTAATTAACACTTTTAAGGAAATTTGAAGGAAAACACAATAAATTGTCCGGTTTCCAGAATCTCTTATATCCTGTATAATCACATCTTCATAACAAAGGCTACACCTTTAAAACATTGCTGGGAAGTGTAGCGTAACAATTAGAGCTGAAATGATGGGCTGATTAATTCATCAGCTGATTAACAGAAAATGTATCTGCAACTATTTTTATGATGAATTTTTTTAGCACAAATACCAACATTCAATGCATCCAGCCTCCAAGCTGTGAAGATTTTGCTGGTTTTCTTTGCCTTCCATTATAGAAAACTGTACATGTTTAGATTTTGGAGTGATGATCAGACAAAACAAAACATTTGAAGTCACTTTGGAGTCTGCAAACTCCTTTTCTGTCACAGGAAAAAGATTTATTGATCTGTTAGCTGAGCGAGGACAAAAAAATTCCAAAAATCTTTGTGTCTGAATAATTTTATTAATAAATGTTACAAATGATCATAAATTTCATCCCATGTAAATATCACATATCAATATAGCATGAGACATATCAGTAAATATAAATACAAAGTTGTTGTTTTAAAAGTGTTGTCTTTGTTTGTTTTGTGTTTTCAGAGTCTCACTCACAACTAGATGGTAAGTCAAAGTTGTTTTTGTCTGTCAAACATTTTGTGGTGACGTAAATGTTTCATTATTGTTCGTATTTGCTATTAACTCCAGAATACCAGACATAAGACTGCAAGTAAAAGACATTAAACATCTAGACTAATTATGAAATGAGACAATGATGTTGGCGAGTGTGGTGGCGTAGCTGCAGCTCCTTGAGTCTCACTCCCACGACTTTTGTGAATGCTATTAATTTGATTATGGCTGCTAGAGGAACTCGACTAAATCAGAAGGATCAATATGCAGGATCGGCTGCTACTGATGAAGTTACCAGTGAGCTTAATGTGGCGACTCTTTCTAGCCTCCTGGATGATCTCAGGAAATCAATCGCTGTGGATTTTAAAGCTTCTTTTTCTTCGCTCGAAACTAAACTTGACTACTTGCAAGAGACTTTGTCTGATCATGCTCAGAAAATCTCAGCACTTGAGACCAATGTCAACCTACAAGACGAGCGTATTTCAGTTTTGGAAACTTCCTGTGCTTCATTGTTGGCAAATAACGCTAAATTGCTGGCTACAGTGGCTGATCTGGTATCACGTAGTCGCCGCAATAATATTAGGCTACTCGGCCTGCCTGAATCCATTGAGGGCGGCCAGCCCACTTCCTTCTTCTCGGGGCTTCTGATGGAAGTGTTCGGTGAGGGTGTTCTGGGTTCTCTGCCGGATTGTGACATGGCTCACCGTGCTCTCATTGCTAAACCGAGCGCAGGTCAGTGACCTAGGCCAGTTATTATACACCTTCGAAGGTACCAGCAGAAAGTGACTATCACACGTGAAGCCAGAGCTAGAAGAGGAGGGCTTCAGTACCATTGGACATCTATCGCGATCTACGAGGACTACACTCCCGAAGTAATGGAACAGCGATCAAAGTATTGTGAAGTTATGTCGGACCTCTAGAAACTTGGACTTAAGCCTGCGCTACTATTTCCTGCAAGACTTTCCATCAATGCGAAGGAGGGAGGCGGGAAAATGTTCTCCTCAGCTGATGAAGCCAGAGACTATGCAGCATCACTCCTTCTTGGTTGCTTTAGTCCGAGGCCTGATCTGGTTTGTCCTTTTGCTTATGAGTAGCTAGTGTGAGTCTTTAGTTTGGGACTCCAGAATTGAATAGTCTATTCATAGTCTATTTATGTGGGTTTTGAGACTCCCTGAGTAATTTCTTCTTTATAGTTAATGATCGCTGAGCAATTGTGCTCAGTTGAAATTTGTTGGTTTCTTGTATGTTTAACTTGTTTTTTGTTTCTGTGTCTTTGTACATTTTTTCTCTTGTCTGTTGCTATAGCGGCTTTTTTCACCCTCCCCTTCCACACTGTTCAGTATGGTACCCTGACATGTTCTTCTTTTCCGTTAAAGGTATAAAGGTCATTCACATTAACATCAGGAGCCTTGCTTCAAAAATTGATCTTCTCAGAGTCAGGGTTACTCAGAACAAACCTCACATTATTACTATCTCAGAAACCTGGCTAAACAATACAATTTCTGATAGTGATATCGAAAACAATGATTATGTACTGTACAGAGCCGATGAGGAGGTGGGGTGGTCACATATGTTGATGCAAATCTTATTTCTGAATGTATTACTCCTGAAGTAGATCCAGTTAACTTTGAAAGTCTTTTTATAAATAGTTCATGTAAATAAACATTTAATTATTGGCAATATTTATACGCCTCTGTCATCCCCTTCAGATTCCAAAAAGTGAATTTTGTCTACAATTAATTCATTAGGTAGGTATAAAGAATTAATTATTCTTGGCGATTTCAACTGCTATTGGCTTGATTGTTCCTCCGCTGGTGATAAAAACCTATTTAGTAGTGTTAATCTCAGACAGCTTATTAAGGAACCCACTAGAGTGGATAGCCGGTCCTCATCTTTGCTTGACTTGATACTGGTCTCTAATTCGTAAAGGATTAGAGACCAGTATCACCACAGTACCACCACAGCTTTATAGAAGTTCACCAATGACGTTTTCTCCGCCTTCGATAAGGGACAGCTAACTGGTGCTATTTTATATAAAACTCATCATTGTGTAATGTATGCATCACTAAATTGGCTTCAGCTTAATTCAAGAAGAGACTTCCATTGGTTCCAATTTATTTTCAAATGTGCCTACTTCGATTGTCCTTCATATCTGAAAGAACTCTTGGTTCTTTGTAGTTCTATGTATCCACTTTACTGTACCAGGAATCTTTTCAGCTGCTGGACGTAAAGCTTTTCATTATAAAGCTACTTGCGATTGGAACAATCTCCCTCTTTCCTTGAGATCCATCTCATCTTTTCGCAGATTTAGGTTATCTATATTTCAATATCTTAACAATGTGTGTGCATGTTACTGATGCTGGACTAAACAGTATTACTTGTAATTGCATTTTGCTTCATGTAATTGTCTAATTGATTTACCTCCTGTGGATTCGACCTGTTTATGTGATACTTTTTCACACTGAATCTTTTATGGGTTCCAATTGTGTGATGACATAAATGAGATATACTTCTTGAGCTAGCTATAACATGTCTGAGCTATGATGTGTCTTCGGTCTGGGGTGAGCGTGTAAGCTGCCTAGTAACTCAGTTGTTTTGAGCATTTGTTTTTTGTTTGTTTGTTTGTTTTTCCTAATGTATTATGTATATCTAAGGGAGGGAGAGTATTGCTCACGCTGTGTCTTTATTGTCGCTCTCCTCAGTGTGTGGTTGGCCTACGCTCAACAACAAGATTGTTGGGGGACAGGTGGCCTCTGCAGGCAGCTGGCCCTGGCAAATCAGTCTGCAGACAAATGGGTTCCACTTCTGTGGAGGGTCCCTCATTAACAATGAATGGGTGCTGACTGCTGCTCACTGCTTCTACGGGTAAGAACTGAGTGTAGGACCGCGACAAATAACAACATACCATGCAGTTCCGTGATTGTCCAGAACCTAACAAGTTGTGTCCATTATTGATAGAATTATTTTCTTCCATTATTCTTCGTTCCCTCTTTTGGAGTTAAAATTGGAGGTCTCCATAGCAACAGATGCACAGGAGATGGGCTAAATATGCAGACTGAAGGGAAAATTGAGGAAACAACTAAATGTAAATAAAACTTGAGGATACATCACTAACTTGTGGGAGTGATATCTCCCTGTTGCCACATCTATCAAGCTCCATACAAAGTAGACGTGGACTTAAAATAGACTGAAGTAATCTTGACTACAGTTCTGCTTTTCACATCTGCACTGTTTTGTTTCTCTTCTGATTACCTCAGCACAGGCATACCCCCAAACACTCTGACTGTGGTTCTGGGTCTCCAGAGTCGAAAGGGTTCAAACCCCAATCAAGTGACTCAGACAATCTCACAGACCATCATTCATCCCGACTATAACCCCAATAATCATGACAACGACCTCTGCCTCCTGAAGCTCTCCTCACCGGTGACTTTCAGCATCTACATCCTGCCCGTCTGCCTGGCAGCCACAGGCAGCACCTTCTACAACGGCACTGTAGCCTGGGTCACCGGCTGGGGCAGGATTGCAACTGGAGGTGGGTCAGAAAGCTCCTGGAGTAGATTTATTTTTTGGTCTGATTACATTGGCAACAACTGCATTTTCTCAATTCCAAAACATAGTTGTTCCTTTATCCCATGGAGCATCAAACCCTTCCTGTAACTAACTCTGTGTAGGGATACTTTTATCATAATCTGTCTATGACATTAGCAAACACACAAACAACAGAACAAACAACATAAAGATAACAGATCTTGTCTTAGAGTTTTTGCAGTAAGCAGTTTGTTCTGATGATGACGCTAGAGGAAAGGTCATTAAAGGTGACCTGTGGATAGAAAAGGTATGTTTAAATCAACAGTTATGTTTTAACCACATCACATTGTGTGTATCCTTCAGTTCACGCAAATGTGAATGTGTATTCTTCATCATAAAACATTTGCAGAGCGGATTTTAAATATTTTAATCTATGAATTGTTTACATCCATGTTTGGCTTCTAGCATTCTTCTTTTTCAGTGCCTTTGTTGGTGCATTTCTACACTAGCTTGTGAGTTACTGCTAGTGGTCAACCAATACAAGTTTTTCAGATGCCCATATTTAGAGAGCAGTGCGCTCTATAACATGATATTGTGGCTTTTTAAAAAATAATTTATTTAACATTAAAAATACAAGGTCAGTATTTAGGTTAAAAACTAAAATAAAAAAAACAAAAGTCGTGTATTATTCCATTATTCTTTGCACATTATAATCTGTTTAAGGTGGCATTTTTAGTAATTAATGAAATGGAAAAATTCTTTGGGTTATGACATGAAATTTAGGCAAACGTTTACAGACGGGTGCATGAGAGTTATAGTACAGAGCCCACCACCATCTGTGTGACCCCACTTGTGTTGTTTACTAAACTGAATTTGTGTCTCTTCAGTGTCCCTTCCATCCCCAGGAAACCTGATGGAGGTGCAGGTGCCGGTTGTGGGGAACAGACAGTGTAACTGTAACTACGGAGTGGGCAGGATCACAGACAACATGATGTGCGCCGGGTTAAGTGCTGGAGGGAAGGACTCCTGTCAGGTGATCAGTTTTACATTTTGTTTGTGTCAGATTCCACTTTCTACAAAGATAACTTCTGCTAAATGTTTGTCTCCTTAAAGGGGGATTCAGGAGGTCCGATAGTGAGCAAGCAGGGCGGTCGCTGGATCCAGGAGGGAATCGTGAGTTTTGGAAGAGGCTGTGCCGAGCCTAATTTCCCAGGAGTCTACACCCGAGTGTCCCAGTATCAGTCCTGGATCAACAGCCAGATCACCAGCAACCAGCCAGGCTTCATCACCTTCACGTCCACTGGGACTGACGGTGACCTCAGCGTCACCTGTTCTGACCTGCCAGCACCTCCAACCACCCCCAATTTAACAACTCTCACTCAAACAACCATGGCCCCACGTAAGTGCCTGACATGCCCAGGCTTTGTTAACATTGATTTTTCACCCTATACAGTTTATATTTATTCTGTATCAGCTTGTCGTCCCAGATGTTTTGTGAATAATATTTTCTAAATGTGCTCAACAATTCAGCTTGTTTGGTATATTTGGAAACTTTGGAAACTTCTTTAATGTAATTTAGAATAAAGTATTGTGGGTTTGAACAAAGTGACTAAACTATGTGATGTTGTAATGGTGGCTCGACAGTATCTGATTAAAAGGCTTTAGAAAAAACTTTTGTCCCTTTTGTTTTTCTCTCCAGCTGTGGTCTGTGGCCAAGCCCCACTGAATTCACGTATTTTGGGAGGAAGCTCTGTGGCAACAGCTGGTGTTTGGCCATGGATGGCGAGCCTACAGAACAATGGAAGTCATGTGTGTGGTGGGACTCTGGTGGCTTTGGACTTTGTGTTGAGCGACGCCAACTGCTTTTCAAGGTGAGAAACCTGGAGTGATGTCATAGATGGTATACAAGGTACAAGGTACAAGTTGTTTATTAGTCATTATACAGCACAAGGCTGCATAAAGAAATGAAATTTATTGTTCCTGCACGCTACAAAAAGAATAAGTATAAAGTCTGTTTAATGTTTGATCATTTAAGAACAGAAGGTAATGATTTTTAAACACTCAGTAGGAACAAGACTGAAAGTGTAAAGCTAGCAGCTCTGTAAAGCTTTGATTTAAGCTAAACACTAACATAAGCATGCTACACACGCACAACATTGCTAATATGTTGATGTTTAGTTTAGCATGTTAGCATGATAGAATTTTATTAATTAGCACTAAAAACAAAGTATGGAAAGATGGAAATGTCATTAGTTTTGCAGGTATTGGTCATAAATAACTCCTGCACACAGGATCACCAAAGTTATTAAGAGCTGTCCTCTGGGGAACATATTGCATGGGATAAGTGGAAACTTTGACCTTCTGGTGGCGTTTGAAGAAAAGTAAGGACATATCAAAAGTTACTATATAACCACGAGCGGCAATGATCGGGATCCAAGGCAGTCGCGATAAACGCAACATTTGACATTTTCAGAGGAGAAGAACAGACGCAGACGAGAATTTGGACTTTGATATTATTGCGGAAACGCAAACTTAATTTGTGTTATTATATTTACCCAACTACTGGGTGAAATGTTCAACCCACCTGCGACATTTTGTGTTTCCAAGATTTAAAGTTTAAGCTGTACAAACACTTTTAAGCAGAGAAAAATAAGATTAAAGTGTCACGGGATCCAAATAAAATAGACAACTGCTTTGATCAGAACACCGCCAGTGTCAGCAAGTCTGACTCGGTCAACTGGGGATGTGAACTCTGGACCTGCAGATTTCCAGAGCAGGTGACTTACTGACTGAGCTAGTTGTAAGAGGCTGCTTTGCCACACCTTCTCACAAGTTGAGGTGGTGATGTCACATGTGCCAGCGGCGGATAGTTTTGTCAGTCAACAGTCAAGATGTAGGTAAAATAATTCTGAAAAACATCACACATCATTCTGCTGGTTTTGGGTGTGTTGTTAATTATTTTAGTGGCATTTGATCCAAAACTGAGTTAAAAAGAAGATGTTGTTCATACTGCACAAGCTATAGCAAGATACTGAATATCGCTGTAGCCTCACCGTTTGACCCATCTGAAAACCCTTTGAAACACTTGATATCGGCCATCTTGAGAACGACTCTGTCGAGTTCGGTAGTGTTTTGAAGAAAGACTTGTGGAGATATAGATGTTAATTGAATTAGTATATTCTGAAAAATATAGAGTGACTGACTTCTGAATTTACCATAGGTTGCAGTGAGGCAAACCTTAGTCACAAATCAGTGGATGTGCTGAAAAAGTTTCAGCTCTCTCGGACTTACAGATAATGTTCTTTGATTTTTTGAAGTTAGGAATGAGAAATGTCAAGAAATTTAGATGGGACATAAACACGTTTAAGAAATCAGGAGAGCATGTCGGAGAAAGTCAGCTGGTGTAAATCTGTATTTTTCTTAACTTTAAACCTCATGCACAGAGTCAAATGTTCCTTCATAACCATGAACACACACACTAGTTTATTCTGACTCAGTCCCACACACACCATCCTGCTGCACCAAATGCTCACTACAGCACCACATGTGGATTCATCCGCCGCTGAAAATAGTTCCCAACAAACACACTATCCCCTCTGAGCCTTTTTAAACATGAAACTATATATTTGTGAGGTATGAGGAAGATGTATGTCTTCAGTAGGAAACAATGGGCTTGGAGCTCAGAACCACAGACAGGAAGTCAGTGTTGAGAGACAGACTGATATGCTGTTTGAGTCTGATCAACAGATTAATTGTTAATGACAAACAGTCTAAGAAGCTGAATCTGTAAATGTTCAGTCCTTGTTTTAAACCAGCCAGAGATTTTAAAGTTATGATTTCTCCTCAGTCCTAATTCAGTTCATTTTATCTCCCACAGTTCACCCATAGCGTCTGAATGGACTGTCGTTTTGGGTCGTTTGAATCAGAATGGATCCAACCCCTTTGAGGTGACACTGAAAGTGACAAATATCACTGTGAGCAACATCACTGGGTCTAATGTAGCAGTGCTGCGTCTGGCAACCAGACCCACCCTGTCCAACCACATCCAGCCCATCTGCCTGGACAACGGACAAACCTTCACTGTGGGCTCGACGTGCTGGGCTGCTGGCTGGAGCGCCGGGCAAGGAGGGGGTGAGTCCATAACACAGTCTGACACAGTAATGCTAACTCTGCACCATTTCACCTCTTTAGATTAAACATTTAGGCTGTTGCTTATTGGTTTTGGCACTAACAAATTGCTAAAAATATGTATGCCCGTTTATTACCTGCCATCTAGGCCTGATTCAGATGTTTCACTTTATTTTAGTGTATGAAGTTCTGCATCAGTTCCAGACCTCGGTGGTAAACTGTGGAAACGCGTCAACGAGTGACAGCATTTGTACAAGTTCTTTCACACTGGGGCAGGTGAGTTATGAGAGCTGGAGATTATTATACTTTCATGATTCTTTCTGTTTTATCAAGGTGTTTGTTGATGTTGAAACATCAGAAACTTGAGTTTTTTATTAACAATCTCAAAACAAGCTCCATTTAGTAGAATATATATATATATATATATATATATATATATATATATATATATATATATATATATATATATATATATATATATAGCCAGTTAGCTTAGCTTAGTGTACAGACTAAACTCCCCTGTTTTTAGGGGAAAAGAGCTAGCCTTACAGTCAAATGGGAACAAAATCTACCTACCAGCTCCTCTGAAGCTCAATGATTAATACATTACATTCTTTTTGTTTAATCTGTAAAAACTAAAGTATAACTTGAGCTCTAGAGGTACTGGCAGGTGAATTTTGCTACCTTTGGACAGAGCCAGACTAGTTGTTTCCCTGGTTCCAGTCTAGATGCTAAACTAAGATAATCTGTGTACTGGCTGTTGCTTTATATTTATTTTATTTGCTCAAACTATTTATTTTCAGGGACAATGCACATCGATCAACATCACTGTAAATGTGCCAGCTTTACCTAAAAGGCACTTTTTCAACTTGTTTCTCCGGGCCAGACGGTAAATTAGTCATTATATTTACCAAACAAATATGAGAGGTATCAAACTTCTCAGGTACCTCTCAGCGAGAAAGTGAAAAAACATTTGTCACTTTTCACTGTAGTGATGATGAAAACAACATTATTTTCTGTAGTTTCACATAAAGGTGGACTTGAACATATCCGTTTTTCTTGTTTGTTCAGGGTGATGCTGGCGGTCCAGTGATGTGTAAGCAGGGCAGCTCTTGGTTCCAGGCAGCAGTGTTGTCAGTTAAGAACAACAGCACCAGTCAAACACGAGCAGATCCAGTGATGGTCTTCACCAAAGTGAGCAGCTTTGGTACCTTCCTGACTCAGACAGTGGGGATGTTCTTATCTCCAGCCTCCACCAGCAACAACAACAGCACAGCTGCCAACAATACTCTCACCACCAGCGGGGACGCTCCTGCTCACTCCAACTTCTTCTTCTTCCATCTCCTAATCTTCTCTGTGTGTCTCCACCTCTTCTCATAGATCTGACAAGCACATAAAAATGTAAACAACAACAATATAGGCTTAAAGCTGCATCAACAATATGACATGATTCTGCCGCGGTGCAGTACTCTAGAGATCAAAGTAATAAAGGGTATAAAACGAATGAAAATAATTGTTTTATCTGCACCGAACAAATGTATGTTAATGCAGGCAGCAGTATTACAGCATGTTTTTTGAAGCTATGTGGACCATAAAGATATCTGCACCTGTTTCTATTATGATGTGCTAGTGCAGTGCCGTTCGCAGGGGCCAATGTGACACTTCCCTGCGGTATTTGTTTGAAATGTGCATCTCACATAGGTTTCAACAGCACCTTTCAGCTACAGCAGTGTCGACAAGAAGCTGGCCAAATAAATAAATAAATTAAAACTGCAAGTATCGCTGGGCGGGCCCTCGCGCTGTGGCGCGTATGGGGTGTGTGACGTAGAATGTGTGAATTAGGGATGGGGTCAACAGGAAATAGCAGAGGAAAACACCAACTGTAGAAAGCAACAAAAGAAAAAAAACAATAAACAGCTGACATAAGACAACAACTGATATGGGAATGAAAAGGAGAAAAAGTCAAGCAAAATAAATAAACAACACAGCACAGCCATGAGAGCTGGAATAATAACAATGAATTTAAATACTGTAAGTAACTTAATGAAAAGCATAAAGAATATTTCTACCTGTGATCACCAGGGACAGCCTAAATTTGTTTGTGTGTGTGTCTAAGTGTGTGTGTGTGTGTGTGTGTGTGTGTGTCTAAGTGTGTGTGTGTGTGTGTGTGTGTGTGTGTGTGCGCATAAGCCTGTCGCAGAATGTAGTTGTTGGTGAAAGTTGGATGCCACAACCGCTGTGCACTGACCTCAGCGACAGGAAGGCAAGAACCCCAGTAGCCAGGGCACCCCGAGACCACAAGCCCCAGGGACAGACCCACCCCGCCCCCACGGGAGAACAGCGGAGAGCTGTGCCGGGGAGCCCCTGCTGCCAGGGTGCGAGAACGTGGGAGAACTAGGACCGATAGTCCCCCAGCACAGCCAGAGGCCATCCCTCCCCGAGAATAGGGTTAGAGCTCTGTGAACCCGAGGCTAGTCCTGATCCAGCCCCCCAGGAAGCCACCCCAAAGGAAGAGGGCCAAAACCCACCTTGACAACACTGGTCATATGCCTCCGGGACTACCGCACGCCCCTATTGTGAGGGAGCCGGCAGGGGGAAGCGGTGGGGGTCCGGCGAGGAGAGGAGACAATGGATCCCCAGGTCCAGGAACACGCCACCCGCCCCAGACATGAGCAAGGACCTGAAGCCCGATTCCCCAGTCCCCTGGGTCGAGAGCGACCCCCACACCAGGCCAGACAAGGCGGACACCAACCCCACGGCACCCCCGATGCCCCTGGACTCCAGGGACAAGACACAAGGCCAATGAGACCCCACCAACACGTTCAACCCCCCCACCTGCCTCTGTAAATGTATTGTGTTGGATGCATATTATGGTTAGTGAAGTTATTTTGTCTAATAGCAGCTGCTAGCGGTTCTATAAAAACAGCGAATAGTGAGGGAGAGAGTAGGCAACCCTGCCTGGTACCCCTCTGAAGACTAAAGCTTGGAGAAGTATGATCATTTTCCTGACAGAAGTTCTGGGAGATGATTTCTGTTTTGTCGGGGTGTATCATACCAGGAATGACTTTCTCTAGCCTTCTTGCTAGGATTTTGCAGATAATTTTAAGATCTGCGTTAAGAAGCGATATTTGGTGATAACTGGATAGGAATGTGGGATCTTTGTCTGGTTTAGGTAGCAGGCTGATATTAGTAGAGTTCATTGTTGGAGGCATCATGCAACTCCTAATTTGCATTACCCTCCTATAGAATGTGAGCACAAGTAGAATTCCCAGAATTCCTTGTAGAATTCAGCAGGAAAACCGTCTGGCCCAGGGGCTTTATTATTTGGCATTTGTAAGAGGGCTTCATGGAGTTCAGCCATTGAAACAGGAGAATCCAGAGCCCTGATCTGTTCATCATCTAACCTGATGTTAGAGCTAGATGGATCAATTTGTGATGTATTTAATTTTTATTAAATTCTCTAAATGCATTGTGATTAATAAATGAGTTATGAGTCAGATTCCCAGCCGAGTCCTTTAAGGAGGAAATTGTTATTTTTTCTTTATTCAATTTTAATTTGTTGGCTAAGAATCTTCTGGATTTATTGCCATGTTCAAAGTTCTCCAAGCGTAGTCTTTGCAACTGAAGTTGGGTCTTTTTTATCAATAATTTCATTTAATTCAAATTTAAATTTTTCTCAGATCATTCAGCATGTGTTCCTGTTTGGAGGCAGCTTCTAATGTTTGTATTTTTGGTTCTGGCTCTAATTCTTTTTTTTTGTGCGATGAGTAGGAGATTATTTTACCTCTCATGACTGCTTTTGCTGCCTCCCAAAGAAGACACTGTGTATATATTACCCACTCCTTTTTGCAATAATCGGGTAGCACATATTTTCATAATCTAGACCGCACAGAAAAAAATTTAGGTCGATCAGATTCATTCTCTAGGAGGAGTTTGTTAAAGTACACTATATTGCCAAATGTTTTGGGTTCCCTGCCTTTACATGCAGATGAGGGTTAATGACATCCCATTCTTAATCCGTAGGGTTTAATATGGAATTGGCCCACCTTTTGCAGCAATAACAGCAGACAGCTTCAACTCTTCTGGGAAGGCTGTCCACAAGGTTTAGGAGTGTGTTCATGGGGATTTTTGACCCTTCTTCTAGAAGCGCATTTGTGAGGTCAGGCATAGATGTTGGACGAGAAGGTCTGACTTACAGTCTCCGCTCTAATTCATCCAAAAGCTGTTCTGTCGGATAGGTGTCAGGACTCTGTGCAGGCCAGTCAAGTTCTCCACACCAAACTTGCTCATCCGTGTCTCTATGGACCTTGCTTTGTGCACTGGTGCGCAGTCATTTTGGAACCATCCCCAAATTGTTTTCCACAAAGTTGGGAGCATGACCCTGTCCAAAATTTCTTGGTATGCTGAAGCATTAACATTTCCTTTCACTGGAACTAATGGGCCAAGCGCAACCCCTTAAAAACAACCCCGCACCATGATCCCCTTCCACCAAACTTTACACTTGGTGCAATGCAGTCAGGCTAGTACCGTTCTCCTGTCAGCCACCAAACCCAGACTCATCCATTGGATTACCAGACAGAGAAGCGTCTCCACTGCTCTAGTGTCCAGTGCTTTACACCACTGCATCCAACGCTTTGCATTGCACTTGGTGATGTAAGGCTTGGATGCAGCTGCTTGGCCATGGAAACCCAATTCCATGAAGCTCTCTACACACTGTTCTTGAGCTAATCTGAAGGCCACACGACGTTTGGAGGTCTGTAGCTATTGACTCTGCATAAAGTTGGCGACTTCTCCACACTGTGCGCCCGTGCTGACCCCGATCTGTCGTTCCCAATCGCTTCTACTGTTACGGTAAGTGGTGGTGAGGCAGGTTGGAGGACCCAAATGCAGGACTCAAGGAAGAGGAGGAATGGTTCAAAAGGTGATTTATATAACAAACAAAAAGCGAGCACACTTACACACCCCGAGTGGCTGAGTCCAGAAAAAGCCAAATGAGAAACGAAACAGAAATCCAACACAGGTAATCCAAAACACCAAGGGCAGGAAAAATGCAAGACGAAACACTGGACGAGACTGGAAGACTGAAGCCACAACTGACAGGGGGTAACACTAACAAGGGCTGAACAGAAAGACCACATATATATACCAGGGATAACGAGCAGGGCGGGAGCAACACAGGTGACAGACATGAGACTAACGAGGGAGGCAGAGTGAGAGCAGAGGGGAGAACAGAGAGACAGTCAGGCAGAGGGATACTGGAGGGAACAGACATGACACAGGTTACTGAACACATAACAGACTATTTAACTGATACTGGACACAGGACAGAACCCAAAACACTAAGACAAAGAACTAAAACACAGGTCCAAGAGCTAAGATAAAAGACAAGACATAAACTACTAAGGACAAGGAACGAGAGAAACAGGCAAATAAACAGACAAATGAAACAATGAACTCAGAAAACCCACAGGACAAAAAACCTATGACGGTACCGCGCTTAAATTCACTGAGCTCCTGAGAGTGAACCATTCTTTCACAAATGCGTGTAGGACATTGCTCTAAGAAGCTTGTTTGTGGGACTTGCCATGAGGCATGTGCCGCATCTATTGACAGAAATGCAACATAATATCCATAACTGGGTTTTCAGTGGCATATAAAGACCTTACATAATGAACCGTTATGTTTTTATTATCTTAGAATGAGACATTTATATCTACATAACCACGGGTCTCCCTTACATGGATGTTGCCATGTTGCGCTGCCATGTTTCTACAGTAGCCCAAACTGACAGCTTTCAAGTTTCATTACTACATTGAATACTTACGACATGAAATTTGGACAAATAGAGGACATTAAGTATTATTTAGCACAAGAGCCGACAGAGTTGTAGTTTCTCCTACGGTGCCTGTTGGTTGCAATTTGCAACCGTCACTACTAGATGCCACTAAAACCTACACACTGAACCTTTAATGACCTGCTTTAAAATGGAGTGAAATCCTCTCTGTCGGCTTCCTTTACGCTTTGAGCATGTGTGCTACTGCTTTCTATTTTAGATCTAAAAAGCTGCACACGATTATTGGTCAGTAGTTGTTCTGGTTAATATCTATAAAATGAAAAACATATACAGAAAATGTACTGTAATGTTAATTATAATAACAATACTAATAACAACAGCAAAGGGTGTCGAGCAGGAACACGATGGCAGCAGGTGACCCGCAACCACAGATCCAGACTCCACAGCTCCAGAGCCAGAAACACATGCAGGAAGTGATAAGAGGAGAGAGGAGAGGGACGAGAAAGCACAAGACTAACAGAAAGGGGAGAAGTTGTGTTAGTAACATGCAATAATGGGATGAGGTTGCATACAGAGGGAGAGAAAGTAGAGGAGAGAGGAGCTCAGTGCATCATGGGAAATCCCCCGGCAGTCTAGGCCTATAGCAGCATAACTAAGGGATGGTTCAGGACTCACCTGAGCCAGCCCTAACTATAAGCTTTATCAAAGAGGAAAGTCTTAAGCCTACTCTTAAATGTGGAGATGGTGTCTGCCTCCTGAACCCAAACTGGAACCTGGTTCCACAGGAGAGGAACTTGATAGCTGAACGCTCTGGCTCCTAGTCTACTTTGGAGACTCTAGGAACCACAAGTAACCCTGCATTCTGGGAGCGCAGTGCTCTGGTGGGGTAGTAAGGTGCAGTGGCGTAAGGCAGGGCTGGACTGGCCATCGGGCATTTCGGGCATTTGCCCGATGGGCCGACGTGCTTTGTGGGCCGGTACATACTTTAATTAATTTTTTTTATTTTTTTTATTTATTAATTTTTTTGTCTGAACGGCCTATAAAACTCGCACATCGGGAATTTTCTTCCTTTGTGGGCCGATGTTTTTTTTGTTTTTGTTTTTGCAACGGTATAAACTATTAAAGGTGGTGGATTGGCCAATTGGTCATGATCGACTCTGGGCTGGACCAATTATAGCCGAGGTCGTCATATGCACCCTCCCCCTTCAACGGATCAGCAATGAGCAATCACATATTATTGCTGCTGAACAAAAAACGTAAAGGAGGCGCCGAAAAAAAAAATGCTGCCAAATGTGCTAAAATATCACAGTTTTTGGTGGTGGCTATAGTGGAGCTTCCACTTCAGTAAAATTAGCAAGTGATGGAGGCCAGCAGGTTGAAGAGGGAAAGGGGAAGCAGGAGGAGGAGAGACCCGAGGCGGCCGCCGGTCCAAGTGGCAGAACTGAACTTGAGATAAGAAGTTATGAGCTGCAGTCTATATCTGGGTCAGATTATAAACCAAGGTTAGGTGCAGCCTCTCTCAACCCGTAAATAAATGCATCCATCGATGATTCTAATCCGCGCTCATATAGTTTTTTTCTCTCTCTCATCAAAACCGAATATGTTCATCAGTGGTACAGACAGTCTACATCAAGCAGAGACACGTTTGTGTGCATTTTATTTTGTGATTTCACCGGAACGAATAGAGTCTCCGAATGCGATGAAGCGCGCGTCCGAGTGAAGAATGTGCGCGAGCCACAATGAGTAACTCACTATTATTAACTAACAAGAAACTCTGATTAACTAGTAAGTAATAGCGCACAGGTGAAAGTGGTACTTCACTATTAATTAACTAATCAATAACTACTATTTTTTAATACTTCTGAAAAAGTTTATTAACAATCTAGTAACTACTATTAACTAAAATGAAACTCTGATTATGAATTAGTAAGTAATAGTGTGCAGATGAAAGTGTTACTACATACTTCTGTTGGAATTACTAATTATTTGGATCCGTATTATAAAGTGAAGATCACTGGAACTAACTAGTATTGACTCAAGTGTTACTACATGATCTAGTCATGATTTGTGCAACCAAACACTAAAGTCATTTCAAGTGTTTGAGATTTTTGGTGAACTTTAGTATACTTTTAGAAAATGTCTTTAGTAACACTTGAGTCATTACTAGTTAGTTCCCATGGTCTTCACTTTATAATAGTAAGTAAGTAAGTACTGTATATGATGTCAGTATTTTCCAACATTTTCTAAATACTGTACCAGTACTGTGTAAAATGCCATCAAAAAGTCAATTAAGTGTTATTCTTTTTCACCTTTCTTTCTTTGTCTCCTTTCACTTTTTAAAGGCTGCCATGTTCAAAAAATATTTTGTGCTGCCATGCTGGTTGTTGATGTGGTAAATAAATAGTTTATGAAAATACCACTAAATCTGTCATTTATTAATTTTAATATTCATTAATGATCATGTCTCACCTCTAGTCTTCTCTGTCTTAATTTCAGGTTTCCACCATGTGTTGTAGATAGTTCAGGAGGAGGTTAACTTGACCAAGCAGTCTTTTGTTTTCCGCTAATTACTGTTTAGAATACCAGAACAGGGAGGATGATGTAGGTTTAAGTTTATTAGATTGATACATGTATACCAACAAGAAAGTGTACATCGCTGTCAGAACAGCGTTTGTTTTCATTCAAAGGCTTTATGGCTTTGCCAATAATACTTGGTGGGCCGGTCTCTAGTCAAAATTCCCGGGCCGATTTTTTGTCCCAGTCCAGCCCTGGCGTAAGGTAATAACAACGGGCCCGAGTGCAGGCAAAAAACAAAGCACATGCACACACACACTGCGTTTGTGTCTAGAAGGGAACCCTAAACTGGCAAATTTGTGTGCCTTGTTTCCTTCGTTTCCACAGTTTAAGATCTGATAAGATAAGATGCAGTAAATATCTAATTTAAAGCTCCTTTAATCGATTTCTTTCCATATTAACACATTAAATTCAATGGATCTTTTTTTGCATCTTTCTCCAACACACATACTGCTGCAGCAGGTGTGTTGAGTGCGCCATCAAGTACCATCATGTGATGGATTATATTTGCAAAGTACAGAAGTTTCAAATTTAGCATGTGAAAGTACAAATTACAAAATTGTGTGCACAGTGGGGAAGCACTATAAAAAAACGTTTTAAATGCAAATTCGGAAAGTATTCATTATTGATCACTTGATAAGCACACGGTCTTGTTATGTGTCACTGTTAGCAGGTCACTATTAGTTTTCCACCAGGGCAGTATTCAACAGAAGTTTAGCTGCTGCTCTGAGCTTCCATGCTGTAACCATTTTTTTGCCAATAATATTCATCAGTGGTTTGTCTCAGGAAGGTAACTTCTGTCCACCTTGCAAAGCCATAACAGAGCGCTGTAAATACAATCCAACAACCTACTTTTTTGCCAGTTAGTGGCCAGCTGATTGTCTCGCTAATGTAACCGGACAAGCCAAACCACAGCGCTGGAGAGCAACAAGGCTACATGAAATGAATCCAACAAGATAAGACATTGACAGGGGAAACGCACCACGGCTCTCTGTGATTATGGCCAGCTTCTAGCTAAAGCTGTCAAACAACAGCTTTCATTTGCATCGCTAAAGTCTGACAAACTTAAGTTAATTACCTGTCCAGCCGAAAACAGACAACTTCAGCTCCACTTTGAAAACATCTGTCCCACATCATCGCCTTCCATCTGGGAAAATCCACACCAATTATTCTGCCGTCATATGTCTGCATCTGTGTGACTCTTCGTGCTTCATGGTATAAAGATCCACAGGCTGTCAGCTCTCGTGCTAAATAACATATGTGCTCTTCATTTGTCCAAATGTCACTTCTCTTCTTACTTCTAATAAACCACAGGACTACTCAGAGTTTATTATTATTATTATTTCCTCTTCTTCTTCTACGGACACATTTAATGTAGTGATGCTGTCTACACTGCTGGAATACAAGGATAAGAAGAATGCTGTGATGAAGAAACACGCTCTGTACCGCTGTTATATGATATGATGATCAATAGTATCAACTGCAGCCCTAAGATCTAATAAAACTAGTACAGTCCTTTGTCTGATACAACTACAAGATCAACTGAGGTAATTTGGCATATCAGACTTTTATGGTGTCCGAGAAAATCGCTGTGTTTTATTCATCCCGGGTTTTAATCTCCCCTACTGTATTTACCATCCAAATTCTCCCAAGTGTCTAATTTTTCAATGCCCCGTTTTTCTCCACATTTCAGGCAACAAAATTCTGCATTCAGCTTTAATAAA